GCAAAGTGTTGTTGATTTAGTCTTGCCTAGAAATTTTGCATTCTTACAGTTCACTTATGAAAAATTCTTCAGTATGCTTCCAGGAGGTAAGGGAAGAAATAGGTGGATCCCTCAAATGTTCAATTATTCTTCAATATAACAGTGTAAGCCCCCCACCCTTAGTTAATCCAAATTGAATATTGCAACTCAGTTTACCTTTTTGCAAATTCACAGATCATAAGACTTGGTTACAAGTGTTGCAAAATGAACTTTTGGTGAGGAAATTAATATTTTTACAGAGGAAAGTATGGTCTTCCTTGCTCAGAGAGGGTTGAAGTACAGTATTTAAACAGGTGCAAATTTTGCATTGCAAAATCAATTCTAAGGGTGCTGCAGTGGGTTTACAGCCTTTTGCTCTGCCGCATTGGAGCAATGGATCTGTTCCCATCCATTTCATCTCATCATTGCAAAACATTGTGCAGTTTGGGATTGCCACGTGCATAAAGTTTGAGTGTTAATTTTTAAATCCTCAGTCAATTCAGCAATATTACATTCATTGTAAAGAGCTGGGCCTGACTGGGCCTGTTTTTGAGTTAACAGTGTTAATCTTGTACTTCAGAATAATTCTTTCTAATTTTAGCTGGGAAGTTATTTAATATCCGGGGAGATCATATCGTCCCAGTAGTCCTGTAAAATGTATTTTACAGCGAATGATCCACCATGTGGACAAACTTGTATGCTTGTCAGGCTGCAGATGAGGAACAGAAAGGCAGGAGACATGTGTTAGCTGAACAACAAAGTTATATTTTTGTCTCCTATGATGCTTTTATTTCCATTGTAACTATGACCCAGAAGTTGCTTGGGGCATAATGTGCCTTCCATAACCTATTCATTTCTTGGTTTGCATTCTCCATTAGCCCTGAGCGTTGGATGTGATGTTGGTGGATGTTAAAAGTTACAGTCCAAAATATCTAGTTGACATAATGTTGGGAACAGCTGAAGAATTCTGTGTGGAAAAACTGGAGGAGGAAAGTGGGCTTTTCCCATCCCATTGCACAATTTAGAATGGCATGGGCACTTTCTAGGATCTCTGGCATGTGTTGTCCTGCTCTTTGCCTACATCCCTTTTTGGCCATGGAAGCTCACTGGGGAGATGGCACTGATAAAATCACTCTTCAAGTGTCTCGCTTAGCTGGAAAACCCTACTGGTTTGCTGTAAGTTGGGCGCAGTTTAATGGCACTTGAAACATAACATGGTTTTGCTTTGGGGCATTTAGAGTGAGTTGATGGCGCCTTCTGGTAATATGGTTTTGTGATCTTACTGGTTTTCATGGGCACGGCTACACAGCATAGATTGATGGTCCATCCAGTCCTGAACCTGGACCGATAACTTTGGTTTGAAATAGGGGAGGTCAACTGCCAGAAATCCCTGCATCTTAAACGGCTGTTCCCATGACCCTCACTTGGAACATTTTCTTATGAAGATGCATTTTTAAATATGACAGGCCTTTTTATGCCATCTAGTGACCATTTTTTCAATTTAAAAAAATTCAGGTGGGGGGAACTCAGTGGTGCTAAAACCCCTCAAAGTGCAGCAGAATTCCTCTCTGTGGTCTGTAGAAGCCATAAGAGGATATTTAAGCTTTAAAACATGCAGTTTTTAAAATTAAAAAAAATATAGGGGGATGAATAGTGCTGAAGGCAGCATTTGGGTCCATGGGGAGGCACAGATAGTCCATGGACCACATGTCACCCAACTTGTTTCAAAGAACAGTTCAAGACAACAATGCCCCTCTCACCATCAGCTATACTGGGTAGTGCTAGTGTGTGTTTCAGCCCATAGCCCGCCCCACTTGACATATCCCTGAACTTTAAATAAGCATAACTCCATTCATGTATTCTGCTGCCTGGCAGTACTGATATGCTTAGAGCGGAGTGCCTAGCTCTATCCATTTCCATCATCCCATGCTTCATGGTTCAATGCTGGGTCTGAACAGGTGAAAGGTCCTGCTTGCATATAGTCTTTACAACTAAGCAAAACCCTTAAATTTTCTGGGGATCTTCCTCAGGTGTATAACCTACATCTGAGCAGAAACGTGTCCTCTCCAGATTTCCAGAGTGAGCACATACAAGCTGCCTAGCTGTCAAACAGGTGGCATGCAACAGTAGTCAATGTACTTACAACAGGCCTGTTGTGACTTCAGTAACTTCTTTATGGAAAGAAGCAGGAAGTCATTAGAGGATATTGGAAGAGTTACAAGATATTCTTCTGGGACCGGGTAAGACTGTGTGTGGAAAAAGCAGCCATGTGCAGCTGAGCAACTGCAACCTTCCATGTGGTACAGAAAAAGCACACAACTAATCAAAGGCAGGAGTTTAAAACAGATGATTAGCTGGAGCTGTATGATGTGCCTGCCAAACTTCTCAATGATACCAGCTTCTTTTCTTCACGTCAGTCTTTTAAACATTGTTGGGTCTGGGGGAAATGATGCATTATGGCTTCAAAAGTATACATTCGGTCCTTTTTTAATTTCCTTTTTAAATAAAAGAACTTTAAAATTAATTCCCAATTTCGTTCATTTTCCTGCTTTCAGAAGTGATTGTGTCTTAAGCAAACAGACAGACAGACAAACCCAGTTACTCAGCAATAAGCAAGAAGTCCAACCTCTGAGTGATCATGAGTATGTTGTTTGTGTAGAGACTCTCCCAAGTGGCTCCAGGTTTTTGTTTGGTTTAATTTTTGCCAGGTTGCGGTCAAGAGTTCAGAAATGCTATAGGTGCAGAAATCCTTGCTCTTGTTCCTAACACTGTTTTAGGTACTGTATGTGCTTGATGTGTATATTTTGTGCCATCAAATTGGAACCAAATTATAGTGACCTTAAAAGGGCTTTCAAGGAAAGTGAGATATTTAAGGAATGGTTTTACCAGTTTGATTCCCTCGGTCAGTTTCCATGGCTGATGTATTTAGTAATGGTTAAATTCTTGAGCCAGGGACACCAGTGGATGAGCAGCCGTTGATAATAATGAGGTTAAAAGCCTCTCTCATCCCTAATAAATCTGCCTTTGACCTTCTGTTCACTTCAATATCCTCCACTAAGACTATTCTGTGTACCACCTGCTCACTGAAGGCAACATATATTTTGCTGTAGTCATTGTAGTGTTGAAGCTGGGAAAAGCTGACAAATACTTATATGACAAGCCCTGTGTCTGTCTCTTCCACAAAAACAAAAGAAAAAAAAATAAAAAGACTAAACATTGTGGCACCTTAAAGACTAACTGCTATGTTTTAATGTGAGTTCCCACGGACCTGGGTACTTCTCTTCTACTGGAGACTCTCCCTTAGCATCTCACAAGTACCAGTACAGTGGTGCCTTGCTTAGCGATTGCCTCGTTGAACGATGTATTCGCTTAGCGATGAGGTTTTTGGAACGATTTTGCGCTCCGTTTAGCGATGTTTCCAATGGGGAAATTTCGCATAGTGATGTTCGGGACCATGCCTCGCATAGCGATGACCGTTTAGGTCCCCCTGTTTTGCTTAGCGATGTCCGTTTTCGCTATTTTAAATGTGTCTTAAAATGTTACAAAAAACTGTTTAAAATGCTTGGAATTGTTAGTGCACCTTGTAAAACCTTTGCAAACTTAATTTGGCTTTGTTTTAAGTCTTCGTTAATTTTTGGTGAATTTTTTTCTCCCCATTGGAATGCATTGAACTCTAGGTTTGACAGATTTAACAGAGCTGGCACACATAACCCTCTCTGTGGGCACGCGAGCCATAAGTCACCATAGAGAAATACTTACCCGTCCTCCGATCCTGGATTTCAGCACTCCTCTCTGCTGGTGCAGTGGTCCAGTGAAGGGGTGCAATGGTGACCATTACTGGTCTAGCCCAATGGGGGATTGGAGGACCAGTAAGTAGTTATTAGTTAATCCCGCCCATGGGGGGGGGGAACAAGCATTTAAGCCTTGCAGTGCAGGAGCAGTTGTTTTTTCTAAACTAAAACCTCAGCATTGAGGTTTAATTGCAGTATTGGCACTTTGAAATAAATAATTGCAGTTTGGGCACTCGGGCTCAAAAACGTTCACCATTACTGTCCTGGGTCATGTTTTCTTCTTTAGTCTTGGGAAGAAATTAAGCAAAATATTATTGGTTATCACCTATTTTTATTTGTATGTAAAAAGGTGCTATACCTATAAAATAAAGGTAAGGATCCAATTGAAGAGTTGTGTTGGTGTAAGTCCATTGGCATATATTTCAGTGATATATGACCGCTAATCAAGGAATCAAGAAACTCGGAACCTGTTTTATCAATGGCTAGAAGCATGTTGTATAGATTAAGGGCTTAATACGTGATGTACAGATTAAGGGCTTAATACATACTGTAGTTGGAATACAAGTGGAACCCATGTGACATGATGTTAAATAAGCACGGATGGACTTTATTAATAATGATAATGATAATAATAATAATAATAATAATAATAATAATAAGAAGAAGAAGAAGAAGAAGAAGAAGAAGAAGGAAAAGGAAAAGGAAAAGGAAAAGGAAAAGAAGAAGGAAAAGAAGAAGGAAAGGAAAGAAATTGGCATTTTCAGTCCTTCTTGCGCATCAAATCATGGTGTGCGATAGGAAATAAAACTGCCAACTTTAACCAGCAGGAATAAGTAATGGGATTCCGAGTATGGTCCTTAGGGGTGCAAGTGGAAATGACATCATAAATGTAAATCGTCCAGTATATCAAATGTTTGTATTTATATTATTTTCAAGCCTGTGGGGGGTGGAATATTGTATGGTATTGTCGCTCCCCACAAACCTGTATATAGCCCAAGACATGCTTAAAAATTTAATGTAAAAAAAAATTAAGGAAGAGGGCAGAAAGAAAGGAATTGCATCTTGGATAAGATTATTAATAATCTTCCAGAAGTTGGAAGTGGTGAGAAGGAAAGTACCTCCACTTGAACAGTCGTGATGTTTTGTGTCTTGTTTTATAATGACTGTTGTCTGTTCACTTTTTCTGTCTAGGGTAGACAATTTTGGCCTTGGACTCCTACTTCAAACGAAGCAGATTAAACGTATGGTGTCATCATATGTTGGAGAGAATGCAGAATTTGAGAGGCAGTATTTATGTGGAGAACTGGAAGTCGAGCTGACGCCGCAGGTAAAATGAGGTTTTGTAGCCAGGGTGGTGTACTGGCTAGGATGATGGAATAGAATCTGGGTTTGAATTCTTGCTCAGCCCTGGAAGTCCGTGGGGGAGGGTGCCACTGATGATGATGATGATGATGACGACGACGATGTGTCACCAAGTCAGTTCTGACTTAATGTGACCCTGTCCAGGGTTTTGTTGCTCTAGACCAACAAAAGAAGTGTTTTTTCATTACCTTCTTCTGAGATTGTCTTGGGACTGTACAGCTTGCCCAAGGTTGCACAGACTATACTCTTGGGATGCACAGTGGGAATCTCAACTCTCTAAATTCTGAAGATATTTAGAATGGGCTCTAGAAGACCTTTTAAAAATTATTAATTGTAATTATTATTTTAATTAATTGTAATTATTGTTTTAATAATTTTGATATATATGTATGTTTTCATAATTTGTGGACCACTTTCGGTTGTTTACTGCTAGAAAGAGGGAAGAGAACTTAATGAAAGAATAAGGTAATAATTCATGCGGAGTGTTAAAGGGGAATACCATTTGTAGCCAGTGTCCTGCATAAATTTTCACTGTAAAATCCTTCTTATATAGTTCTGTGGTAGACCATACTTTTAGGATATTGTGTACAGTTCTGATTACCCGTATCTTGAAAAGAATATTGTAGAGCTGAAAAAGGCAGACAAATGCAAGTAAGAGTCATTATTTTTCATGTACCATTGAGTCACTTCTAGCTTATGGCATTCCTGGCAGATTTTTGAAAGTATGAGAAAAGTTCAAGGACTGCCAGTGAGTTTCCATGAGCAAGTAGGAATTTGAACCCAGGCCTCCCCATGTCCTAAGAAAGATAAAGGTTCCCCTTGACAATTTTTGTCCAGTCGTGTTCGACTCTAGGGGGCGGTGCTCATCCCCGTTTCCAAGCCATAGAGCCAGCATTTTGTCCAAAGGCGTGGATTCGATCTTACGACTGCTTGGTCTTCTGACCCTGCAACACAGGCTTCTGCGGTTTAGCCCGCAGCGCCACCACTCCCCTCCCCATGTCCTAGTCTTACAGTTTATCCAGTATATCACATTGGTTCTCATGAGTGTGCAAAATTGTATATGATGTGGAAAAAGAGGATAGAGGGATCCCTCCCCCAACTCTTGTAGTTTCAGAATTGGGTCATCCAGTGAAGCTAAATTGTTGGATACAGAGGACAAAAATAAGTATTACTCCTTATGGTGCATTGCTAAACTGTGGAATCCTAGTTTGCAGCATGTGCAAGATCCTCCATGTCTGGGTCTCACAGGGCATCCTTCCATCCCTCTCTCCTGTTCACAACACTGGCAAATCTGATCAGTGCAACAGAAGAGTTCCTTTTTCCAGGAAAAAGTAAAATCAAGTGGATGGCAAAATTAGTAAGCGGGCAGGTTTCATTATGAGAAGAAATGGGAGAAAATGAGCCATTAGCACAAGACACCTATCTGTTTGGGAGATGGAATAGTCGAGAATCCTCCATCAAGGAGATTTTTATATACAGAAATATAATCATCGTCGTTGTGTGCCATCAAGCCATGTCAGAGTTTTCTGGGTAGAGAAGATTCAAAAGTAGTTTGCCACTCCTTTCTTTCAGGGGTGCCCTTGGACTGTCTAGCTTGCCCAAAACTGCACAGGCGGGATCTACCCCGAGGAGGCACAGCGGGCCATCGGACTCCCAACTCCTGGCTCTGCAGCCGGAGACCCAACTCATAGAGCTATCCAGACAGCCGACATGAATATGTTGTTGTTGTTGTTTAGTCGTTTAGTCGTGTCCGATTCTTCGTGACCCAATGGACCAGAGCACTCCAGGAATATACTCGACAGGAATATAGTTTGGAATAAATATCTGTGTTGCCATCTGGTGGAGAAAGCTCATGTACAAAAGTGAAAAGAAGTATTTTCATTTTTTCAGTCATCTGCTGAAAGTTTTTGAGGCCTTACGGAAACCAAGAACTTGATTCCTTAACGGATTTTCAGGTCTGCTGGTGCATTAGTGGGCCTTTGAACCAAAGATTTGGATTCTGAATCTACCAAATAAGTCATCATTTCAATCCTGGAAAAGACCAGGTGGCGAAAGAAAGATGGTTGCCACCAGGCTTGTAGTTGCCCATGACTGTGCTTTTATTCTCCCAGATAACGTATGTTTTTGGACTGTTTAGCATTGGGTGATTATCTTTTCATTTCACAATGGGTTCAGAATAAGCAGGAATTTGTACATTTAAATTTTATTATTATTATTTGGTTGGTGTTTGTTATCGGTTCCTATCATCATCGTTTTTCTCCTCTTGTAGGGCACCCTTGCTGAGCGGATTCGAGCGGGAGGAGCCGGCATCCCAGCTTTTTTCACCAGCACAGGGTATGGAACTTTGGTGCAAGAAGGAGGCGCTCCTATAAAGTACAACAAAGATGGCTCTGTTGCCATTGCGAGTGAGCCCAGAGAGGTAAAAAATAAAATAAAATCAAAACTCCTGTAGATTTGAATGGGGTTGGAATGGTTGGAACCAGAGGCTTGAGACTGGAACGGGGCAGGCATTCAAGAACTTTGCATAAGCCCTTTCCGCGAGATAGGCCTTTCTCTTGGTCCCACTACCATAGGAACGTGGGAGAGGGTCTTCTCTGGCACCCCTCTCAGACTCTGGAACTCCCTCCCACAGGAGGCCAGGCTGGCCCCCATCTTGGCTGTCCTTCCACAAGCAGGAGAAAATCTTTCTCTTCAAGCAAGCTTTCCCTTAATGGCTGCCCGAGAAGCGTTTTTAAATGGAGGGTTGTGCCTTGTTGCTTTTGCGTGCATTTTTGGTATTGATTTTGTTTAGTTTTTTTTAGTGTGGTGCTCGTTTGCTTCTTTTTGTAATATTTGTATACAGTGGTGCCTCGCATAACGTTTTTAATTGGTTCAAAAAAAAAACCTTATGCGAAAAAAACTTTATGCGAAACACCATTTCCCATAGGAATGCATTGGAAACCGGTTAATCCATTCCAATAGGCACGGATTGGCTTCCTTAAGCGAAAAAACCCATAGGAAACATTGTTAAACGATACAATGTTTCCTCCATTGGAATGTATTGAAGCCGACTCAATACATTTCAATGGCTTTGCGAAGTCAATTTTTGCAAATTTAAGTGTGTCATAAAAGGGTCAAAATGGTTTTAAATGCTTGGATTAGCTTCTGCACCCTCTAAAACGGATGCAAAAGTTAATTTGGCTTTGATCTGACTTTTCGTTAATTTATGCTGAATTTTTTCCCCCCAACTTTTGACAGCTGTCAAAATCTGACAGCTCCATTGTTTCCTATGGGGGAGAAAAAAATTCACAAAAAATTAACGAAAAGTCAGATCAACGCCAAATTAAGTATGCACACATTTTAGAAGGTGCACTAACGATTCCAAGCATTTAAAACCGTTTTTCAACATGTTAAGACACTTTTGTAATTGAAAAAATGAACATCGTTAAGTGAAGCAGGGGACCTAAAACCAGAAACGTTAAGCGAAGCATGGTCCCAAAATCGCTATGTGAAAATCGCCCATAGGGAAAAACGTTATACGAAGCACAATCTGACTCTGAAAAAATAAACGTTAAGCGAAAAAAACGTTAAACGAAACAAACGTTATGCGAGGCACCACTGTACTTATTGTTTTTAGGTTTTAAATATTGTCTTTTACTGAGCTAAACCCCGTTGGTTTTTTTTTACAGAGGAAGGCAGCAAAATAAAACAAATAAATACATCTGTCCTACCGTGGCTGTTAAAGTGTTATCAGGTGTATAGTATAGATCAGCAATGGCACGCGAGCCATAGGTCGCCAGATTGCTATCCCCCCCCACCCCCGTGCAGCTAAACTTCAGCAGATCTAGAGTGGGGTGAGCCACCTCCATGCCGGGATTCCCCTCTCCGCTGCTGCCACTTCTGATTCTGTCGCCACCACTTCTGGTTCCGCTGCTTCCCTCCCCCCTGCCCCAGTTTGGGCATGTGAGCCCAAAAAGGTTCACCACCGCTGGTATAGATACAACAAAGTTACTTTTAAAATGAGGCACAGTCCAGAGCATGAGAGTGACACCTTCTTTTGCTTGGAATATAAAAATATTTGCCATTTCACAGCTTATATAATTTGTATCAAACCTATTTGTAGGGATATCCTCATTCTTGCATCCATCTTTGTATTCAAAACTTAGTGATGCTATCCAGAACTTAGTTCTCTTAATAAAAGTAGTAGGATGCTGTGAACGTACAAAGAAGAGTTTTCAGTTCTTCATCGTAAGCTACTGCAACTACTGTAAATCTTTCTTTTCATGGACTAGTAAAAACTTAAAACTGTACTTGCCTTGCTTCTAGAATGTTGTTTCCCAGACTGGAGTTTGTGACCCCCGAAGAGGGTCCTGGATCACCTTATATGTGTTGTATCCCTTGTTAAATAAATTCTTCCTTGACCTTTTGGAGCACAATATTAAAGTTAGTGTGTATGTGTATGTATAAGAAACACATCCTTTGGGGGAGAAAGAAGCCTCTGATTTCTGAGAAGGAAATACTTTACCCCCTTTAAAATGCCCTTTTATGTAAATGTGGTGGTGGGTCACAGGTTACTTGACTTTTATAAAAGGGGGTCATGACTCCAACAGGTTCAGAACCACTGTTCTAGAATGAAGCAAGTTAGTACAGCCAAAACATAAACAGCAGCTTTTGCACAGTACCTGTGTGTGTATACTACAGTTCAACCAATATGGATATTGATTTTGTTTATCATATTTTTTTTCCTACTGTACCTCTGAATTGTCCTGTACAGCATATATTGGGGAAGGGGAATCACATTTTTAATGCTGGTAGCAACCTGTCAGATACAGGAGTTACATGAACTTGTCCAAGCCACCAAATGTGATGTGATGATTCGAATCTGGGTTTTCTCAGTGGAAGTATATGATACGTTGTGTTGTCCATCCCATTGCCTCTTGTTAATAACCGTACAGTCATAATTTTTGCCAGCTGTTGAGCTTATAGTTTGGAAACCTGCCAGTTGGTTGGCACCGTTACTCTCGTCTGTCAAGCTGAAATGGGAGCACTTAATATTCTGCCCTTCTAAAAATACATAACCCAGTAATTGATTGTGAATTGTATTGTATTAGATCCCATTGTGGCCTTAAAACCCTTCAGACATAAATCATTTGATAAGTCTTTTTCCCCTCCACTCTATCCCTATAGGTGAAGGAGTTTGATGGTCGGCACTATATCATGGAAAAGTCGATCACAGGTGATTTTGCACTAGTGAAGGCATGGAAGTCTGATCGTGCTGGAAATATTATTTTCAGGTATGGTATATTCCCAAAGTAGACACAAATTTGCAAAACTGTGGCTTTCAAACTATTTCCCAGAAAATCTTCTGAGTTTCTCTGGAACTTATGTAGACCTCTTGCATGGTGCTTGGTAATGTTGGTCTGAGATAGCTTACCAAGGCATGGCTAGTATTGATGGCTACAGTGAGATTTCTGAGTTTGTGTTATGAAGGTTCTTCTTTGTGGCCTCTGTGAATCACACTCTGGGTGATCCGCGCCTGCGCGGAGCCTCATTGGAAAGTTCTAGAGCTTCTGCAGTAGCAAAAGCCACATTAGAATAAGGCCCCTCCCCCCTCATATAAGTACCTTGGCGCCAAGGTTCCCCTTTCAGTTTCTTTTAACCGCTGTGTTGAGAGCCTCATAGTTCTGCTTCTGTGAGTAAAAGAGAATTTATTCTTGATTCCTTCCTGTTATCAGTCTTTTTTCCTTTAAACTTTTAGATCATATTCATTATCATCAGATTTTTTTTCCTTTCTGCTTTGCTCGGCCTCCAGCCGCACACACACACCCAATAATAGTTTTTTCTCCTCAAATTATTTTCTCCTATTCATGGCCCCTTTGGGCCCGTTTAAACACTGCATGGTCTGTGATAACAAAATACCACTCTCCAACGGCCACGCCAAGTATCTTGTTTGCTTGGGAGAGGCACACCAGATGTCCTCCTGCCAGCATTGTAAGAACTTAAAGTGCGGAGTTCTCCATTCTCGCTTATCCAGATTAAAACTCCGTCTTTGGGGACAATCCCTTCAAATGACCAAAATGATCCAACCTCCTTGTAATCTCCGTTCTCGCTTATCCAGATTAAAGCTCTGTCTTTGGGGACAATCCCTTCAGATGACCAAAATGATCCAACCTCCTTGTAAGGCCATCTCACAAACCAAAGCAATGGAGAAGGCTCTTTCTGAAGCCTCAGAACAATGTCCATCAACCACACCATCCCACTCCGATGCTCCATCCACTTTGTCTAAAACTTCAAAAAACCATAAATCGAAGTGCTCTATACTGAAATCCTCTATATCAAAGACCTCCACTAAATGTCAAATGTCCACTGAAGCCTCTTTGGTTCCGAAGCCCTCTCCGCCTAAAAGACCTCAACAGCATAAATCTAAAGCTGCAGTCATCTCTCAGCAACCTCAACAAACCACCGAATCAATCTCTATTGGTTCGCCTTCTGACAATGACAGAATCCCCTCTCATCAATCCTGTTCCCAATCACTGGAATGGGATGACATGAGTCGATTGATTAACATCTTCTCCTCCCAGTCCTCAATACTCTGTTCTTTCGAGCAACCCTTCTCTAGTTGCTTCACTTGACAGGGTCGATTCTGAACAACAACTGGAGACCATACCTTATTCGGTAACATCTGAGTGGATATAATATGTGGAGAGTCCCAGCCTTTCTCTCACCACCTGGGGTGCATCTGAAGAGTCTGAGCAAGACAAGGGACTTCTTCAGCCTGATCAACCTCTATGGAAAACACGAGTGTTGCAGAGTGGCAACAGCCAAGGAGCGTTGACTCAAGACATACAGGTTCTGAACATCTGGACTCCAATGGACTCTGAGGTTTGCACAGTTTGCATGCTCCTACACGAGACTCCCCCAAAGCCACACAGATTTGCATCTTCATAAACATACATCACAAAAAAAGGTTTTTATTGAAATAGATCAGTAGTTAACATATGATTACTGTAGGAAAGCAATCTCTTCTCAACTAATAATAATAGTAATGATAACAACAACAATAATAGTAATGATAATAATAACACTATATGGATTTGGCCCAATGTTCTGTGTAATTTTTGTCCCCATTGCAAGGGAACCTCATCCCATGTGCACACAGGGGAAGGGGTCATCCCAAACTTAAACTGAATGGGCATCAAGAGCGACTCCTGGTGTGCAGCCCTGATGGAGATTTTCGCACATGCACAGAGATGCGGCACAGACAGAAGATGCACCTTCTAATGATGGAATGTTGACCTTCTTCATAGCCAGGGGCCTTTGCCTCTCTGGTGACCCCAAACGCTGGGCTGGGTCCACTATGGATGAATGGGACTTTGCCTGGAAAATGGGCTTTGATGGATTCCTAGAAACAGAATCATCACCAGCTGGAGTCTCCATTGTGGAGGGCTCTCCAACAACTGTTCTCGGAGACCTTTTCTTCCTCCATGGCAGCTGAAACCCCCCTTTCCTTCTGGCACTTCCCACCTTTCCCTCTCCAAGTGCACGTTGAGATTCCTTGTTTACCCCTCCATTCTTCCGTTCAACACAGGAGATGCAGTTTTCTATCCAGGATGCTGGTATTGGCCACCATTTCTTCTTTGTGACCTCTCCATTCTGAGCTTTGTGGCCTTCTCCCGCTCTCCGAAAACCATCCTTCCTCCCAAACACGGAATGCTTTCCTTCTGAAGACTCAAACTATGTCTGTCCCAGAGGAGATTTTTGATGCTTCAGATGAACGCAATCCGAATGGACTTCCTCCTCTTCATTTCGTCCCTTCTCTTTTTCTTCCTGAGCAGTAAGGGCCTGCGGGGTCCTCTGAAGCCACATTCTGTGTTCCAAATCTGCTTTGGAAGGAGCTCAGGGAGGCAGAAGGACCCTCAAGGACTGAAGAACCCATTTGGGAAGTCCCCACCTATGCTGGGCTGTTCTCTTCCTCAAGTGAGCTTCCAGGTCTTCTTTTCTGGGGAGGTTCAGGAATGGGAGACGCCAGACCTCAATTGGGGGTGGAGAGACTTGTCCTCCGTTCTTTTCTCCCAATCTTTGTTCCCTCAGGCACTTGCCCCTTTGCTGGTCTTTGCTGATAGACCTACCATAAAGAGAAAGTGAATAGAAAGGTCCAGCATTAATGAGAGTAAAGAAAAACTAGTTTTCCCATTTTCTTTTTCTGGAGAATGAACACCAGATATGCTTCCTGTCTCTCTGCATTTCGCTTACTTATGGAAAGCAAGCTGATAACACTAATGCAACAACCTACCTTTGTTTGGTCGCTGGAAAGCTGGGGTGGCATTTCAGGGACAGCAAAGAAGCACCTGAAACATCTCTTGGTTGATTCACAGATTTTTTGAATAAAAGTGAAACTCTGTAGGAGTTTCAAGAGGATAACAATATGATAGCATAATGTTATGAACAAGAGAATAAGAGTAAAGATGAGGTATCTGATTAGGGTTGCAAATGCTTCCTTGGGAGCAACCGGAAACCTGTGCTGGGTCTTCTCCATCCTTGGATCAACACAGCTGCCAGAGCGCGGGTGACCCACCAAATAGATGGTGATAGCAAAGAGCCTCCTCATGGATTCAAACGTGTTCTGAAACAAAGGAAAACTCTGCAGGAGTTTCCAAACTAGAACAAGCTGATTACATAATGTTATCAAAGTGATAACAAGAAGAAAGATGAGATATCTGATTGGGCTGGCAACATTTTCCCGAGAGCAACCAAGAGTGTGCGCTGGGTCTTCACCATCACTGGATCAACACAGCTGACTGAGCGCTGGTGACCCACCAGGTGGATGGTTGCTGTCCTGGACCAGAGGTTTAAGAAGGTGATGAATTGCATCACTAAGTGACATCACAAAGAGTGATTGAGGTACTGTTGCCCCTGCACCCAAAACATGGGAGGCCTGCTTTGTTTTCCTTACTGGTCGCAAATTGGAAACAAGGACACAAGTATACAGAAAGCACTTGTCTTTGCTTTGGAACCATCGTTTTTTAAAATTCTTTGGACTATTGCAATGGAAGCCTGGGTCAGGCCAGGTTGTGAGAGACACTGGTTGGGTGGTCTCTGAAAGAGGAGTCCAGGAAATGTTCGTAACCAAAATCACAGTAAAGACATATCTTTATTTTTTTTTAGTGATTTTAAATATTGTTACTTTGCCTTCCTTCTGAAAAGGGCCGTTGGTGGCTTACAAAATTAAACGCCTGCTAGTTTGTGTTTGTGTGTGTGTGTTTGTGTGCATGTGGTCCCACTGGGGTTCACTTAGATTTGTAGGAAGTTCTGTTGCTATCAATAAAAATGGATACCCAAAACCAGCATCCATATTATGGGATACCTACTAAGCTTTTTGACTATGCAGGGATCTCAACCCGTATCCATCTCTTCCAAATCTAATATTCAAACAATTATACTCTACACTGGCTCAGTCAGAATTTACATATGATTCTGTAGCCAGAACATCTTGGCATGTCTCCTGTTGCAAAGCTATATGGACAACGCTGGAAGAACATTGAGAGTGCCGGTAGACTTTCGTTGTATGGGTATACTGTGTATATACTTACAATGACAGTAAATTATATTATTATTATTAGACTGCCACTGAAAAAAAAGTCCCTACTTACTTTTCGAGGTAGATTCAGCTTCATCATGCTCATCCTAAAACCAAAGAAGCTACTCTTTCATTAATAGCAAGTTAGTCAGAAGTTGAGAGTTCCGGATTCGCTGCCAGCACTGCCATTTGGCTCACTCCATCGGCCCCATATCGCCCCCCTTCTGTTCCTTCGTCCCTGCATTGCCCCTTTTCATTCCATCACCCCCCTGAAAAACCAAATTGCGCCCGGATTGGCGATATTGCCCAGGTTAAGAACCACTGTTGTAAACAACAGAAATAACCAGGAGAGGGCAGTAAAAACCCAGTTTTCTACAATAAATGAGATGCTCTTGATTAAGAGAGAACTTCTTGAAACTTCTTTATTTATCCTTCTCCACAAAGGCTTACATTATCATTAGAAATATGTTGTGAGAAAATTCCACATTTGGGCAAATCATATGTGTTAAAAAATTATTATTGTTACAACATTAAATAGATAACCAGGTTTTGCAGGTTAGGATTTCTGAGAAACACAAGCAGAGGAATATCTTTAAAAGAATGGTGCCAGTGATGTAGTAAAAGTTATTCACAACTACATGGTTGTCCACTGAATGTTTTCTACGAGTAGTGTTGCTCTTCTGAACATGGAATTAATTAATTAAATAAACAAACCAAGAACTGAATTTAGCCTGAAGACCAAAGTTTAAAACAGTTAAGGCTTGATCAAGCTGCAAAGTCCCAGAGTATTTTGTACCTGGAAAACCCTAAAATGGATCACTGAAAGTCAGAGTTGGCTTGACAGTATGTGATGACTATTATTTTATTCTTCCTGCTGGCAACCCATGCTACACCATTGTCTGGGAGTAAGCCTGACAGAATTTAATTCTGGAAAGACCTCTCTCCAAATGCTATGTGTGCAAAGTGTTTGTTAAAAAATTTAAAAATCTTCATTAAAGTTGACTTGGGCAGAAGAGTCTTTTAATATTTGCCCCATAATTATTTTCGTTTGGCACAATGCTTTTCCTAGTATTGCAAAAATATGTAACAGCAACTTAAATGTGAACAGAACAGTTGTTATTTTAAGCCATCTTACCACTTTCGACCCGCTTTTTTTTTCTTGAACAGGAAAACTGCAAGAAATTTCAACCAACCCATGTGTAAAGCAGCCAGAACAACTGTGGTAGAGGTAATGTAGAACAAATCCTTTTTTTCCACCTGTATCATTTGTACGTTTTTCTTCAAAGCTTAAACCCATGAATCCTTCTCATGGTGCAATCCATTGATAAAAGAAGGGCTTAATGCGAGATTAGATGTACTGTTGCAAATGTTGTTCTTTGTCTTTGTTGATTTTTCCTTTTCGCCTGCTTTCCCTCACCTCTTGAGATGGGGTGTTTGTCCATATGAGAGAACATGTTGTGCTTTGCCTCCTTTGGCAGCCGTTTACAAAGACCCTTAGGCCATTGTGCAGAGCTTAAAGAGCATTGTACATGATGTACATACATAATTGAAACCAAGCAGCTGGTGACAGTGGCGAGTTGTTAATATTGCCTTCACTTGGAGCAGAAATGGGATTATTATGAGTGAACACACGTTTCCAAGAATAACTGAAAAAAGCTGATTGGTGCCTTGAGGTCTAAGCTATTCCATAGCACCAGCAGTGGGAAACCTTTTTCCTATTGGGCTGTCAGTATCTCACTTGAAACCTATGATGCTCCACATTGGGTGAAGTCACATCCAACAGTGGGAGGGACCAGACCGAAAGTGGGCGGGCATCCACATAGAGGTAGGACTTCCGCATGTGACCGAAATACTTGAGTGGCCAACATGATTGAGTGTTCCCCCATATAGAAAAAACAAAATCTTTCCCAAAGAAAATGTTGGCTCAAATCCTGCTTGCTGTGCCCACAAGTGCAACACAAATAGTGTAATTTTTGGAGGCAGATTGCCCCAAGTTATAAAATTGGTGTAGATACCAATTCAGTGCACAACAGAGACTACTTACAGTAATTTTTTTAAAAATTGAGGTAATTTGTATGCTTTTTACATTACTCCAGCGACTTACAGTGATTTTTTAAAAAATTGAGGCAATTTGTATGCTTTTTACATTACTCCAGCGTAAAACCCAATGCTACACTCCCGAAGATATATACCAGGATAAAATCCCATTGGCTGAAATCCTATTGCATGTGGTGTAGCATAAAGTTATGCCTATGAATGTTTTCAGGGAGTTTCACAATTAACGGTGCAGTTCCCTGTGCAGCTAGTTGCCCATTCTGCCTATGGAACTGCTTGCTGAATATGATGTCCACTTTGGAATGAATTTTGCTGCCACTTATGTAACTTGATGAAGTGACACAGACATAGATACGCAACAGGATTTCAGCCGAAAGGATTTTGTCCAAACCATGCAAAAAGGTTCCAACTTAGTCTTTTGCACATAAACTAGTAAAATAAGGAAGGTTTTGTCTCTTTTAAAACACGATGAGATTAGTTTAAACTGATGAGCAGTCAGTTGTGGGGGCTGCTCTTTGCACTCTGAAGTAGAATAGCACAGGCACACAGCTTTATGAAGAGTAGCCAACAAGCAGGTCCAGCCCAAAATATTTTATCACTTGGCTTGGAACAATTCGTATGTTCTGCCCAAAGCCAATCAAGTTGTACTGGCACCGGAGACAGCCAGTCTCACAGACATCACTCCCTGGCAGTGAAACGTTGAAGATTGGTTGGAATCCAGTTGAGTATTTGTACTGGTGCAAGTCCATTGGCTTACATTTCAGTGGCAAAGAATTAAGAAGTCATCATTTGCATAGCCTGTCATGCCCCAATGTATGTGACTGCTACGCAGTGAGAGAGCAACCTCCAATTTCTTAACTCGTGTCAGTTCGCCTCTGAAATATACACAAATGGACTTATATATGCAGATATAAGGAAAAGATTTCTGGCAATGATGAATTAGATGGTAATTTGCTGTCCTTTTTTGACATCCAGAATCTGCTGCCTGAGGTGATTAATTGCAGGGCTGGCCTTGCCCAGCACACAGTTGGGATGCGATCACATGGGCACATCGCTTGCCTTTTGGACTGCTTGTGGTGGCATGGTTGGGTGTGAGCTTTTTCCCAGCAATCACATGACATACAGGCAATAACCTTCCAGCCTGACCTTGACCTGTGCCCTTTCTGGTCCAGCAGGAGGGCTACTATTTTGAGGGGCTGGGCTGGAGTGAGTGACCCTGATAGACAGAAGGGTTGCTTTAAGGGAGGTCACTCGTGGGAAGGTGATCCTTTGCGCACCTTTCTCCTCATCTGATCACACTCTGGATTTGGAGAACAAAGAGAATGAGAACTCTGCATTGATCTTATGAAGTTTGCTACTGATTTAAAGTCAACAGCAGGGGTATCTTGTGAAGTGAGAATGTTGGGCTGCAGGAGCCTAATGCTCTTGATTGCGAAGAATTGTAGGTTGTATAATCAGCTAGGTTGATTAGTGATTTTCTGACTCAGCTGATATAAATGAACCTCATCTATTCAGTATTTGTATACTAATATGCTTTCCATTGCTTCTGTCTCCTTTTCCACCATCTTTTTTGTGCCCCAGTTTGTCTCCTCCCAGACTATGCTTTATACAGTAAATGGAAAATGTTCTTGAAAAATTTAAACAAAAACCCAGCAAAAGATAGAGGAGAAGAAAGAATAACTAAGGTTCATTTTATAAAAATTTCTGAGGCATACATTTACTTTGGAATAGTCAGGGGGGTTGAGATTACCTTTGAGGTAGCAAGAAAGAGGAACGCATAGAGGGTGGAACTTACAATTCTGTGAAGAACTGCTCTTTCACCCATAACTCATTAAGTAAATGTAATTAAAAATCCTACAATTTATCCCTGGTTGCTTAGCAACAACACTGCTGCTTCATTATCATTTTGCTATCACAGGTACAATGGACCTCATTATGTTGTGGAACATAAATGAATGGTTTCTATTAGTTACCTAAAATTTTGGCATTTGTTTTATTGTTAACAGAGATGTTGAGAAATAGCTGCGCTTGTAAACACACTTTTATCATGAATAAAACTGTAATCTGTGTGTCTTAATTCTAATTCTATTTTACAAGATCTGAGATGTGTCTATTGTGCCTTTTCTAAAAGGATTTGGAAGGACATATGTACCTATCTGTCTTGAAGCAGCCTTAAAAAGAAGCCTAGCAATGCTGCTAGACCACACGGTGGCAGCCTGCCTACACATACCTCTTAGCACAGCAGCATCAACACAAGAGAGACTGGGGACCTTACCCTATTAATTTAGTTAACATCTGTGATTCATTTCCAAAAATGCATTGTGTTCTTCGTTGTGGTCTCTGTATCTCACAGAAATGTGCTTCTGTGCCTGTATAAACAATCGTCAAAACTTTCTAGAATGGAATACTTCCGGTGGGAAACCCCGCCCCACTCTCCTGCCATGCATGGCAAAGTGTTCCTCAGCTTAAAATACTGGCTATGGTTTATCATCTTAACAGCTAACCACTTGAAATGTCATGTCGTCATATCAAACGTTTCCAGGCCTGTCCAGCTGAATATAGGGACTCTTAAGTGTGGTTCAGGTGTAAGGCTAAACCACAGTTGTACTTCCGGTGGGAAACCCCGCCCCACTATCCTGCCATGTATGGCAAAGTGTTCCTCAGCTTAAAATACTGGCTATGGTTTATCATCTTAACAGCTAACCACTTGAAATGTCATGGAGTCATATCAAACGTTTCCAGGCCTGTCCAGCTGAATATAGGGACTCTTAAGTGTGGTTCAGGTGTAAGGCTAAACCACAGTTTAGCTCAACGCTCCCCCACCTTGGTGCCCTCCATGTTTCTTGTGCTATTGTTATGTAGTGTCAAGTTGCTTCCAACCTAACAGTGGCCCTATGACGCTATTGTTGCTGTTAGGTTGCTTCCAACCTAACAGTGGCCCTATGAATTAGTGACCTCCAAAAAGTCCTACCAATAACTGGCCTGCTCAGGTCTCTCAGAAGAAAATGTGTGATTTCCTTTATTAAGTCAGCCCGTTTCATGTTGTTGTTATTTATATACCACTATGGAATTCAACCACTATGCCAAAGGGCTCAATGTTAGATTTTTCTCTTTTCTTGCTGCCTGTTAAGCATTCCTAGCATTACTGCTTTTTTCCATTCAGTCTCTTTCTCACAGTAGCCAAAATTCTGTTGCTTAGTGTAGCAAATTGCTCAAGTGGAGCTGCATTGAATCAATGGAGATTTAATGAGTCAATTCCTCCATGTTCCTTGATTCAAATAGGCATGTTCTAATTATGACTTAATATGCTAAAATAAGTTGAGAGTAGAATAGACATGTTTGAATTAATACAGAGGAACTGCCTCACCAACTCTCCATTGACTCAATGGGACTACTTTAATGTTATTTGCGATACTGAGCAACAGTATTTTGGCCAGTGCATCCAAAATACAACTGTCAGTGTTTTTAAGCTTCCAGTGAGAGTTCTAGCTTGGGTAAATCTAGAACCCACTCACTTGTCTTTCTGTGGTATCCATAAAGCTCTCTTCCAACATCATGTTTTGCATAATTCCATGTCTTTCCTGTCAGCTTTTCTCATTGTCCAGCTTTTACATCCATACATAGTACAGTGGGGTCTCGACTTACGAACGACTCAACATACGAACGTTTTGACTTACGAACCCCTCTCATAGGAATATATGGACTCGACTTACGAACTTAGATTCTAGTTACGAACTCTTTTTTTTCCTTTTTTTAAAAGCTAAGTCATCTTAGGTTAAAAGGAAAAAAGAAAAAATATCCCCCTCTAGTGGCAGAAGGTGGAATAGCAGCTTCCCTTTTGCCTCCAGTGGCACATCCTTACACCTAAGGGTTTTTTCTTGCACTACACCTTGTATGTCCTAACTCCTTGGCCAATTTCAGGGCTTAGTGGGAACTGGGCTGAGACCGAACTTACCCTCCTTCCAGCATGGTTCCAAGAAGATTTCAAATTTGGTTTCTAGTTTAGATTAATTCCACTTTGCTGCATTTTCTAAACATTGTGGTTACTCTTAACTGTGATTAGTAAAGGCAAACCAACTTCAAACAATAGTTTGTGAAGCAGGCTTATTTTACCTGTATGTGGTTAATTTAAATTAGAATGAAAAGTTCCAGTTTCTTCCTTAGGGGCTGTGTTGCAGAAAAACTGAGAGAGGAGAACATGAAACACTGAGGGGAGTCTAAGGTCAACCTTGTAATGCTAAGCCATAGCTTGGTGCCACTTGAACAAGCATTAGGATTGGTACATTCACTCTTCAGGTGAAATATAATGGTGTTTCATTGACTCCAAACTGAAAACTCTCCAAGCAATTTTTACCATTTAAGAAGTTATAAATGGTACAATAAAATGAACAGACGTTGATAAACTCCTTGAATTTCCATCATGCTGTAAATCCCATCTTCTCTCTAACTGACCTGCAGCAGGATGGGGCTTAATCCCCAAGAACTACATTTTGTTGCAGAATTCACAAGAAACTAAACATGCTTACCAACTGGCTGGATAGCTCAGTGGTTTGGGTATCTAGCTTTGGAGCCAGAGGTTGGGGGTTTGATTCTCCATTGTGCCTGTGCTTGATGATCCATAGGATCCCTTACAGCTCTGCATTTCTAAGACACAAATTCAGGCTTTTTGTGACTTCGCCGCCTGAATGGTTTGTAAACAATTTTGCTGAATTTCAGCCAGTTGTCTTGTGTGCTTTTTAAAAGCAAAAAGGATCCATGGAAAGGAAGTCTAGCAGAATCATTGCTTTTTGCAATTGAAGTATGTTTTCGTCCCCTCTAGGACTGAATATTTGAGCAAAGAAAAAAAAATATGTTGCAGGGAAGCAGAAATGAGTTGAAGTGATTACAAAGAGGTTAATACCAGTCATGGTGAGAAAGACTGGAATACTCATTAGGATCTGGAAATATGAAAACTTAACCACAACCATAACCCTCCATAAATTTGAATTCTCTTTGAGGCAGAAGATGCCTCACAACTCACTCAGTGCAAACTCCTGCTGCATAAGCTTTAAAATCATAGACCCTTGAATGTTACTAAACTGAGACCTTTCTGCAATATCCACCCTTGAACAAGTATTTGAACCCAGGAGATCCAGATCCACCAGACTATAGTGATACACAAAACGGTTGGAACAGGAATCCATGTTGTTCCTCCATGTTTTGGTTATACAAGTACATTTATGTACTGCTATGAAACACTAATTTTGTTCCCTTGTGTTTCAATTCCAGAATTTAAGAGTTTTGTTATATTGGAGAGCAAGGATGAAATTGATTGTTCAATAGACTTTTGAAGACTAGAACAGAATGTGATAGACCCTGTGATGTTTTGGTTTCTGCTGGGTACCTGCTGCTGTTCTCTAAACTAGGAAGGTTGTTTTATTCGGCCAAATTGGAAATTGCTTGTCCCCNCCCCCCCGGGTACTTCACAGGCTTTTTTAGAGTTTCTGTGGGAAACAGGTATGCTTCAACTATAATGTGGGAATATGTATTTTGAGTCATAATAGGCTACTCAGGCTGATTTATAACAACCTTGTCTTGAGAGTTTTCTGTGCATACTCAAGAAGTGATTTACCTTTCTACTCTTCAGGAAGCACTCTGGCACTGTGCAGCTTGCCCAAGGCTACAAAGGCTGGCAGTCCTTCCAGGAGGCATTTAGCTGCTTAGTCAGCTTATTTACATGGCTACAAGTCAATTCTGACTTAAAACATCCCTTTCCAGGTTTTTTTAGGTAGAGAGTACTGAGAGACCCTGATGTTGGGAAAGTGTGAAGGCAAGCGGAGAAGGGGACGACAGAAGACGAGATGGTTGGACAGTGTCATTGACCCAACTCCGAGAGACAGTGGAAGGCAGGAGCCTGGCATGCTCTGGTCCATGGGGTAACGAAAAGTCGGACACAACTTCATGACTAAACAACAACTTAAAAGTGGTTTACTCTGGGACTGAGCAGTTTGCCCAAGAGGACAGAACTTCATGACTAAACAACAACAACTTAAAAGTGGCTTACTCTGGGACTGAGCAGTTTGCCCAAGACTGTTTAGGCTGCCTTTTCTCCTAGGAGACATAGTGGGGAACCAAATTCCAAATAGGGGGCTCAATAGCCAAATACCTAACTCACTGAGCTATCCAGCCATGTATATATTAGGTATAATAAATGTACAGTATATATTTAAAGACGTTTTGGTGGAAAAATCCTCCTCATGCCCTCTAGTGGCCATTAAAAATATTTTTTAGAATGTGAAGAGATAGGGAAGCCAGGCTGTGTGTGTAAGAATACAAGCAAAGTTGCTGAAATCGCCCTGAGTTAGGGACAGAGGAACTTTTGAACCTTTTCTGCCTACAGAGGTAAAATTTGGTGTGGGTGTGGGTGTGTGTGTGTGTGTGCAATTTGGTGTGTTTGTGTGTCTGTCTGTCTGTCTGTCTCTGTGTGTGTGTAGGTTAGGGCCAAAGGGGTGTGGGTGGGGTCACATTTGGGTCTCTTTCTCCACCCTGTCTTAAACTGTACTACAAGTTCCTGCATGCTGAAGAGGTCTACAGAGTATAGGTCTCTTTGTCCACCCCGTCTTAAACTGTATGTTCTACAAGGTCCTGCATGCTGAAGAGGTCTACAGAGTATTAGTGGTTCACTAAATCCCATTTGGCACGACACAACTGTGTTTCTTTTCCTTGCGACCTCAGATGTCAAAAATATGTGAGGGATCTGATGCAGTTGCTCTATTTTTATCAGTTACAAAACATTTAGGAGTCAGCATGTCCATGGCTAAGAGTTGATGCTCAGGAAAGGAGACCATATGAGGTGACCACCCATCAGTGTGGGGATGGTCAACTTCCTGGGGCCACACTAGATGCCCTGCAGCTCTCTAACGGGGACTTGTTGCAGCATCTACTTAAGATGAAACTTTATTTTCAGGTAATTGCACAAAGGATTCCAACCAAGGGGTTCAGCTTTAGACCATTCAGTTGTTTTCATGAATTATCTTGTCACAGAGAGCATGGACTAAACCTTGCAACTGCAGGAACAGTTTCCCATTCTGCAGCTTCTTGGCATCTTGGCTAACTCAAAAGCACCTGAAGGACCTAGTGTGCCACCATCTGCAAAATCATATTGCACTCATGCTCTGATTCAATTATTCCTGTTTTTCATATATGCACAGGTAGAAGAAATAGTTGATGTTGGCTCTTTTGCACCAGAAGACATTCATGTCCCTAAGATCTATGTTCATCGCCTCATCAAAGGGGAGAAGTATGAAAAAAGGATTGAGGTAAGTTAAAACGGGGATAGAGATATTTGTAAAAACATTTTTATTTAGCTCATTTTATGCTTTTTTTGTTATTTATGAGGAAAGACAAAGATTCTGTGGCGTCCGCCCAGGTCATGAATATTCATATGATATCTGCATAGACCAATGGGAGTGCTGGAGGGGCGGAGTCATGAGATATGACTCAGCAGGAGAGGGTTTTTAGTTAGTAGTGAAGAAGTTGAGATTGAGAGTTTGAAGGGTTTTGGAGTTTGGGCTGGAGAGTGGTGGTTGAGAGTGGATAAAGGACGGTGTTTGTTTAAGAGTTAACAACGTTGCTTGTCCCGTCAACATCTGTAACAATAAACAATTTCTATTTGGTTCTTTTAAAATGACATATGGCCTGGACCTCGATTGTTAATAATAGGTAATGTTGATGTAATCAACTGGTGGCAGCTGAGGGGCACGTAGCGTGAGCTCCTAGTTTGGTGAAACAAACGGGCCACGTGGGGATCATGACAGAGCCAGGTGGTCCAAAGCACAGCAAAGGTGGCTTGGTCTGACCTCTCTGAATTCTGAAATTTCCAAGATGCAGACTCTTGAAATTGCATGCATTTCCTCAGTTACAAGGCCTAGAAAGAAAGACAGGTGTTCTCATGAAAATGGATTGTGTACCCTATACAGTATTTTCTGTGTCGCTGCAAAAACTCAGCATGCACAGTGAAACTTGGTACCGCCTCACTAAACAAAACCCAAAACCTGTTTTTAATAATCAGTCATATATGACCTTCATTTTACAGTCTCCAAACCTAGAGCTGTGTAAAATATTCTTTGCTAAGACTCAGTGGTTGGATTTCAGCTAATGCAAAAAAAATAAGATGTCCATATTTCAGTTTAGGAAGAAACCTGGCATATAGGCATGAGATTTTTTTGGATTTTTGAGGTGCTACACTTTCCATAATTCTCCATTCTCGGTGGTCCACCTAACAGAACCACATCTACAGAAACTGACATATGGCTCACCTGGAGAAAAGGACTAGCTGGGAAGGCTTCTAGACCTTTTGTAGGACTAGCTCTGCCCTGGACTGCGGGCTACATATGGTACCCAAAGGCCCATGTTTGGGCAACCTGGCATGTCTCCCCTCAAGAATCTCCACCCCTCATTCCATTTTAAAACTCCAAAATCAATTTTAAAAATTGCTCAGGAAGTCTGCTCATGCCCTCTGGCAGGGCAGGAATAGGCATTTTTGCCATGTTTTTGGCTCCTTGAGCTGTTTTAGGTGGGGTGGCGGTGGCTTTGCTGAAAACTGGAAGCAACTTGTCCTTTTGAATAAAGGCTTCTCCTAGGCATAAAACAACTCAGGAGCAGGGCAGAACCTGGCAGAATTGTTCTCCGTAGATTGTTTCCAAATTTTAATGGAATATGGCGGCCCTTGGTGGGTTCCAGCAGAGCTGGGAGATCGTCTCCCCCCCTCCAGACACCAGAATTGTCTATTTCTGAGAGAGATGACTTTCAAAATCTAGCCATATTTTCCATTGTTTTCTGTTTTTTCTCTTCTTCGTCCTGATTCTTTTTCTCTTCCAGCCCCATCACCACTTTTTCTAAATGTTCCTAGCCTCATTTTAAGTGTTTTATATTGTCTAGACCAAAGTTACAGCAGGGATTAATTTTGGTCTGTTGAACTTTACAAGCCTGGTAGGGATTTGTCTTGTCAAATTGGCAAGGAAGCCTCAAGCTGCTGTGTTTACCAGCTGGAGAGAAAAGGAGGGAGGGAGGGAGCTAGGGAGGGAGATGGATTATAAACATAACATCAGTCCTGGAGGATTCAGCTGCATTATTCCAAACATAAATTGTATCGGATGGAATGCATTTCTCACACGAGTGTTGGGAAGAGAATTCCAGTGTGAAGCAGATTTAAGCAGAGTGTCTGGAAAAGGAAGATATGCTCTTATCACATTAGAAGATGGATGATTGTAGTCATTTATTTGGCCCGGCTGCAGTTGGAAGAACAGCGACATAGCAAAAAAGGGAACCTAATTCCTTTTAAAAGCTTTGTTAAGTAGCTCTGTCAAATGCCTGTTTTCTTGATACTTAATTTCCAAAATTGAAAGAAAAAGCAGATGCTCCAGACAGGTTACAGGTTTAGACCAGAAGCCCTGTCTGTGGGTTTGTTTGTTTGTTTATGCAGCTAGGGCAGGTGAGCACAACATGGAAATGATTTGGCTCTTATCCAGTTTTTGCCTCTGGTTTCTAGAGATGAGAAAGATCTCTCTTTTTTTCTGGAAGGGGGGAATATAATTTCCAGAATCCCCCACTGGGTGGTTTTGTGGCCAGGCCTACTGAGGAATTCTGGGAGTTGTAGTTCATAAACATAGTCAGGTAAATGTTTCCAAACTCTGCTAAAATAGTGGTCTTCAAGCTTAGGTCCTCAGATGTTCTTGGACTGCAACTCCCAGAAATCCTGTCCAACAAAGCAAGTGGTAAAGCCTTCTGGAAATTACAGTTCAAGAACATCTGAGGACCCCAGTTTGAGAACCACTGTTCTTACAGATCTGCATGCTAGAAGTAGGAGCAATGTAGGCTTCTTTTACATGTGCCTTAAAGGGGAAGATGAAGAGAGTTGGATTTTCCTTACTGGTCTCTATTGGAAATCTGTTCTTCGCAATGAAAGCATGTTTCTGAGATTGAAGTATGTTTAGCCAAGCAAAATAACAGGGGTGGAAAAAATAAGCTGACATCAGTGGGCCCATGCTGGCTGTAATCAGGATACCGAGCTTTGTTGGTTAGACCAATTCATGGCCCAGTTATCCTCCCACGTCTAGGACATTTGAAGGAGAGAACTGCTAAATGTTTACGCTGGTGCTCTTCTCAATTTGTCTAGGGTATACTGATGGTTCTTAGCCTTTTTGGAGTCACCTATCCCTTTGAGAATCTGATGAATGCTATGGACCTCCTCCCTAGAAAAATGCACATAAACGCACACAAAATTTTGCATACTTTTTTTTCTTCTTCTTTCTTCCTCCCTAACCAGGAAGCCCCTGACAACTCATCTGGGGGCTATCCACAGATAAGGTTCCCTTCCAAGGTTAAGAATACCTCATTTATACCAGCAATGACACTCTCCCTGGAAGAAGGCAGAATCCAGCAGCATTACTAAGGAGTGATAAAAAGGCCACCAGCTAAGCAGTCTGTGTATTGCTTGAAGTGCCATCAGGTCGCCTCTGACTCATGTCGACCCTATGAATGAGTGTTTTCCTAAATGTCTTGTCCTCAGCTGTCCTGTTCAGCTCTTGCAGACTCAAGTTCATGGTCTCTTTTAGTTAGTCAGTCCATCTCATATTTGGTCTTCCTCTTTTCCTGCTGCCTTTCCCAGCATTATTGTCTTTTCTAGAGAATCCTGTCTTCTCATGATGTGCCCAAAGTCAGGTAGCCTCAAGTTTCAACATTTTTGCCTCCAGAGGTGGCTCAAGGCTTGATATGATCTAGGATTCTTGTTTGTTTTTCTGGCAATCCAAGGAATCAGCAATGCTCTCCTTCAGCATCACTTTTCAAATGAATCAACTTCTACAATATAATTTACTGCAAAACCAAGCCTTGGTTTCTTAGCTTCTGTAATTCTTTATTCCCTCTATGTTCAGTTTGAGCAAAACGTTTCTTGGGTGTTTGGTTTCAGAGAATGAAGTGTGTGGGCGCATGTATCCATGTGCATGCATGCACACATTTTCTGACCCCCCTATTTGAGAACAGCTGTCTCAGAGCCAGTGTTTCCTTGGGCTAGGTAGGTGAGTGGCAATTTATACAAAGTTGGAGCAGTAGATGACGTATGTATGTATGTATGTATGTATGTATGTATGTATGTATGTATGTATGTATGTATGTATGTATGTATGTATGTGTCAAAGTCCTCTATTGAGCAGAATAGGTGTTTTTTGTAAAGTAATACATGTTAACTCTCTAAGGATGGTGAGCCCCATAGAAACTAAGTGCAAAGTCTGAAATAACTAACTGTACTTTGGACATATCGTGAGAAGACAAGATTCACTTGAAAAGACAACAATGCTGGGGAAAGTTGAAAGCACCAGGAAAAGACCAAATATGAGAAAGGATTCACTCAATAAGGGAAGTCATAACTGTGAGTTTGCTAGAGCTAAGCAGGGCTGTCACCGACAGGACCTCTTGGAGGTCATTATTTCATAGAGTTGCCATGAGTTAACTATGTGCGTTTCTTGCTCCTCCAAGGTGCCCAGGGCTTGGCTTGATTGAAAAAAAAAATGACACAATCTGTGATAGAAGATCGTAAGTATGTAATAACCCACGTAAGAGTGGCATTAATGACCACTTATTTGGCTTTGCTTCTTTTTCCAGCGATTATCACTTCGCAAACCTGAAGATGCCCAATCAAAGCAGAAGAAAGGTGGCGATAATGTGCGAGAAAGAATCATTAGACGAGCAGCACTCGAATTTGAGGATGGCATGTATGGTATCCTTTGGCAGCAATTACTGCCTTTGCTTTTTCGCAGTGTTAGAGTTTTCAAAGAAGTACTCATGTTAGTCTGGACAAACATATCTGTACCAAATTAAAAAACAAACAAATCAAAAATGTTGTGGCATCGTAAAGACTAGCTGTTATATTTCAATGTGAGCTTTCTTCGGTGTGTCCACATCCTTCCTTCCTTCCTTCCTTCCTTCCTTCCTTCCTCCCTCCCTCCCTCCCTCATTAGTGGAAAGCATTATTCTTTAGACATGTCTAAACTTTTTCCATGTGTTTGTTTTTTATTTCATTCCCCTTCCCCCATCTTGTCTGAATATTATGGTTACCATGTTTCCCCGAAAATATGACAGGGTCTCATAGTAGTTTTTGCTCCAAAAAACACATTAGGGCTTATTTTCAGGGGATGTTTTATTTTAAAGTCGTGTCATCTTCTGGTTGCTGCACAATGGTGGAGGGTGGGGTTTCACTTAACTGGGGCTTTTTGGGGGTAGAGCTTATGTTACAAGCATCCTGAAAAATCATACTAGGGCTTATTTTCAGGTTAGGGCTTATTTTTGGGAAAACAGGGTATAGAGACACATGGAAATTAGTTTTGATGGAAAATCCCATTGCCCACTAACAACTGAGGTACCAAAATTCCAGTATAGACTCATTTTATAAAATCTGGCTTCCTTTTATTCAGTATTGTAATAACTGTACTGATTCTCTTAGCAACCTGCCAGCGACTCATGCTGATTTATGGAAATGTGAGTTGTGCTAACTAGTAATAGCATTTGATATGTTTACTATGTGGGGTTTGATGGTTTATAACTATTTTAGGCCTCAGCATATTGTATCTTATTAAATTTTATTTTAAAAAATCATTAGAGACACAGGTGAATGAATAAAATTCTGTAAAGGATGTGTTAAACCTTGACTCGTCCACTTAAGCTAACCTTGGCATTGGCATTCCATTGCTTGCCAGCAACTTCATTAGTCCAGACATAACAGTTCATCTCCAGAGTGAAAATGGAGTCCTTGGCCTGGTAAGAGAATAGTGATGCTATTATAAAAACCACTGTAATGTTTGGAAGTCTATGTTTTGGGGAGGCAGAGAAAGGATTTTTAAAATAAATATAGCACAACATTTATAAGATTTGATTTGATTTGATTTGATTTGCGTCATGCCTTTCTTTCCAAACCTGGAATCCAAGGCCGATTACAGTACGACCCCACTATCTGCTGGATCAGCATCCACAGATTCACTTATCCACTGCCTGAAAATGTTAAATAAAACAGTATCGTTACTAGAACCAGTCACTAGAGGGAGCTAGAGACAGTGCTAGTATGTACAGTGTTCCCTGCGTCCGCGTTTTTCACCATTGGCGCGGGGGCTTGGAACTGATCCCCACCGATGCCGTGATCCCTATTGTATAAATAAGGACCAAATATAGCTAGATGAAAAGAAGCTTTAAATATAAATCAGCTGTTATTTTAAACAGGAAACAGTTAAAAACCATTTTCGAACATCAGGGTTAAAAACAGAAGCTGCCATTAACTAATACAAAAGTGCAGCACATCTTTTAAAGCTCCTGGCCTTTGTGGGTAGAAAGAAGCATCTTATTGTTTGCTTAATTTTTATCCCACCTTCATCCCCAAAAACCTGTTGACCCGAGGCAACAAATTATATAGTAATATATTGTAGAATAACCAAAATCCTGCTGGTTTTCTATGCCAGTGGAATGTAATTGGCGTAACTTTTTGCTGTTGAATTGCTGCAAGTTAGCAGAGGCATTCGCTGCTGGCTGCAAAGTCATATGGCTTGTGGTGCAACTATATGCATATGCTAACTTCCTCGCCTCCAGCAGTTCGCCAGTAAGATGTAACTCCAGTTTGGCTTATGCCAGTGGCTTCAACTACGTAGGATTTTGGATATCATATCTACAGTTACAGTCTTTCTTAGAGAGTTCTATTGCAGTCGCTTGATCGATAGCAAAGAATTGTTTAATACACAATCACACTACAAATCATAGAATCTTGAAGTTGGAAGGGCCCTGTAAGGCCATCGAGTCCAACCCCCTCCTCAATGTGGAAATGCAAAGCAAAGATATCTGCCAGGTGGTTGTCTAAGTTTCTGTTGAATGCCTGCAGTCCTGGAGCACTCACCACCTCTCGAGGTAATTGGTTCCACTGCTGCACTGCTCTAACAGAAAGTTTTTCCTGAAATTCAACCAAAATCTGGTTTCTTGTAACTTGAGGTCATTTTTGTGTGTCCTGTACTCTGGGATGATTGAGAACAGTTCCTGCCCCTCCTCTGTATGATAGCCTTTCAAGTATTTGAAAAAATGCTATCATATTTTTCCTCAGTCTTTCCTTCTCAAGGCTAAACATGCCCAGTTATTTCAGTCTTTCCTCACAGGGCTTGGTTTCCAGCCCCCTGATCATCCTTGTTGCCCGCCTCTGAACTTGTTCCAATTTGCCAGCATCCTTCTTGAAGTGCAGTGTCCAGAACTGGACACAGAACGCAAGATGAGGTCTAACTAGTGCCAAAAAGAAGGGAACTAGTACCTCACAGGATTTGGAGACTATATGTCTGTTAAAGCAGCCTAAAATAGCATTTGCCTTTTTTGTAGCTACATCACACTGTTAACTCATATTCGGCTTGTGATCTACAACAACTCCAAGGTGGTCTTCGCTTGTAGTACTATGGGATGGAGCCATGAGAGTTAATGTGTTTGTAACTATATACAGTGGTGCCTCGCTTAGCGATTGCTTCGTTTAACGAAGAATTCACTTAAACAGTGTCCAGAACTGGACATAGAACGCAAGATGAGGTCTAACTAGTGCCAAAAAGAAGGGAACTAGTACCTCACAGGATTTGGAGACTATATGTCTGTTAAAGCAGCCTAAAATAGCACAAAAAATTAACGAAGACTCAGAACAAAGCCAAATTAAGTTTGCACATGTTTCACAAGGTGGACTACCGATTCTAAGCATTTAAAACAGGTTTCAAACATTTTAAGACACTTAAAAATGAGCGAAAACGGACATCGGAAAGCCATTCAAAAGCATTGAGTTGGCTTCAATGCATTTCAATGGCTTTCCGTTGGGGGAAACATTGTTTCACTTAGCGATGTTTCCTATGAGGATTTTCACTTAAGGACGGTAATTCGTTCCCATTGGAACGGATTAATTGGTTTTCAATGTATTCCTATGGGAAATGGTGTTTCGCTTAACAATGTTTTCCCATAGCAATGTTTTTTTAACCAATTAACATCGTTAAGCGAGGCACCACTGTAATGTGTATATAATATCTAGCATTCAGTGCTTGGGCAGAAGGCTAATTCTGGGTTGTTTTGTCTTCTCTTGTTGCCAAACCAGGGACCATATCCAACTGAAAACGAAGTTGACCCTGACCTCATCAATGCTGGTAAGTCTGTTTCATTAGTCATTTTCCCATCCATGCCTTCCTTCAGAAAAGTCTTCTCTTTGGTTCCAGGTGGAATCTGTAGAGGAAAGTGGGAAAGGAGTTCAGACTACTGAGAGCTGGGGAGAATTACGAGATGAATCACACAGGGTGTGTGGAAATATTTGTTTACTGCCGAAATGATGAAATGGTAGTAGTAGGCTACGGACAGGCTGTAAAGCATGACAACTGGTCAAAGAGCCCAAAAGCCTGTGAGGAAAACAAACACGATGGAGGGAATGGGTGAGGGCGTTTCTTTAATAGTGCTGGAATCCTCTGAGCTAAGTAGTGGTGGTGGGCTTAGGATTCAGGGTTTAAAGGAAAAGGTCAGCTAAAATTCTGTTGATGAGTGTAGTAAGTCGCACTAGAGTAGGTCCCCTGAATCAACAGCACTTTGGTGAGCCAACTCTGTAATTTCCATTGATTTAAATTTGCCTACTCCGGTTGTAACTTACAGCACTAGAGTAGGCCCGTTTGAATCAATGGAATGTATTGAGGGCTTGACTCACCATATCCCCACTGATCCACCAGTCCTGTTTTAGTTGTGACATGGCTATGCTAAGCAACATAATGTCAGCCATAGAATGGTTTAATGAGAACCCTGCAGAATTGATAAAACCATGGTATCAGCCTGAGATACGTTAGGGACAAAAAGTATTCTGTGGTCTTCCAGCAAATTTCATTTCTGCCTTGGAACTTCAAATCAGACCTAATTGGTTCACATTTGGCCATTATTCCACTATAACATATTGGCTTTCAGACAGACCATTTCTTTTCTTTTCTTTTTTTAAAATATTTTATAGATTAGGTGTAGGGATAGGGGTTAAAAATATTTTAAAGGTTAGGTGTAGAGATAGGGGACAAGGGATTGAACAAGGGTTGTAAATCAACACGAACATTTTACAATACTAGCTCTTATCTATTACATTTCAAAGATACATAAGTTTCAGGCATAACTTACTTATAATACATATTCTATTTCTAAATTAATCTTAGGCTTTCAATTATCAAATATTAATTTGCATTCTATTTCTAAGCCAATCATAACATTTATGCCAACAATCTTCATGATTGATCTTTCTTGTTGAATCTAGCCATTCTGATAGTTTATCCATTTCTGCCGTATCCAGGATTTTTGGTAATAACTCATCTTGAGATGGATTCTCCGGGTCTTAACGTTTAACAAAATGAATTCTTGCAGCTGTCAAGATATGGATGGCTAAATTTCCATTGAATCTATTGAAGCCGAGATTATATTTAGAAGAAAAAAATTCTTTTTAGAAAAAAATCAGTTAAGATTTAATCTGATTTATAGCAGGGTTGCATGTGAATGTATTTTGTTGCTGTTGTATTATGTTGGAATTTTGTAAGGAGTTTATATGGAGTTTTAGCTGAACGAGTGATGCACTGTCTGGATAGCACTCTGGTGATTTCATTGCACATGCAATGACAATAAAGTGTTATTCTATTCTATTCTAAAATTCAGGGGATACAGTTATCGGAATCTCTAGAATCTCTTGCAAAAGCATTTCAACCCTTTCCCAATATTTTTGAGCTTTCCCACATGGCCAGCACATATGATAAAAAGAATCTTCATTTTCTTTACATGTCCGAAAAAGATTTGAAATATTAGCATCCATTTTGGCTAGTTTTGTGGGAGTTATATACCATCTATAGAACATTTAATATATATTTTCTTTAAATGCTACTGACTTGGTAAGTTTTATATTGTTTAAATCTATAAAATATTTTATATATTTTTTCTTTAAAAGCTACTGACCCTAGTGAGTTTTATATTGAATTTCCATATTTGTTTCCACTGATCCAAACTTATATTGTGCCCAATATTCTGTGCCCACTTTATCATATATTCCTTAAGACAGACTTCATTTCTGTGCAACTTTTTTTAAAAAATGTTACTGACAGTGATGGAAGACATGCTGCACAACTGTCATTTCTTCTGAGTCACTGACATGGATTCTCTTCTCAAACTTGGTCCTCTGAAATAGTCCTCTTGACGTTGGTGGTGTTCCTGTCATTGCAGGAGAAGTATACGTTCTTGCCTTTATGTCGTCCCTGCTGCCATGTGACATGACGTGACAGCCTAATTGTGTTGGTTATGTCCCCAAGTGTAACACAGATGGGCATAATTTTGGGAAACAAGCTGTGTTGAGTTCAGAAATCATTGTAGACATTGTTTGCTGCACACTGATTAACGTGACTCAGCAAGCAACGTAATGTCTATGTTGCCATCTTAACTTGATGAAATTTGTCCCCAAAAGTTACGCCGTTTGCATTATGTTGGCATAACATCACAACTGGATTTGGGCCCATGTTAACGGTTTTGCAGTACTTTGAGCAAATGGCTGTTGATAAAGACAGGATTCATTTCCAGTATCACTCCAAGCTTTTGCCATTTGACACTTGTTTTTCTTCTGTAGGTAAAGAGACAGTCACCGTGCTTCCAGGAGCTTCGTACTTCTCTAGTGATGAATCTTTTGCAATGATTCGAGGGTAGGTAATGAAAGAACTAATTTGTCGAATGTCAGGAATACAAACGCAGCAGGTAGCTGAACTTATTAGTAAGACACCTTAATGTATCAGTCTCCTGCAAAAGAATTGTGCAATTTGGAGCTGGCTGTTGGAGCTCAATAGACCTAATAGCTGGAAGCTGGATCTGAAAATAGTCAACACAGGTGACTTTTGAATGTTGTGAGATCAACTCATTTGCAGCATGGGAATAAGAGAACATAGTAAGCATGCTGTTGCAAAGATTCCATGCATTGTGTAGGGTATGATCATCATCATCTTCTAACTGAAGAGCTGGAAGGGATCCTATGGATCATCAAGTTCAGCTTCTGTCAAGGAGGCACAGTGGGGAAATCAAACATCCTACCTCTGGTTCCACAGCCGGATACCTAAATCACTGTACTATGACTTTATAACAACACGACAATGACTTACATAGCTTCATATATTTGTTAAATTTCTCAAATGCTTAACATAAATAACTAGTCCCAGCTGCAGATTTTAGTGGGATCTGTTCCTAAATGTGCTTAGTATTTCAGTTCTGCCTTTATTTATCTACACCTAAAGTGAAATTTTAGTCCCCACTGCTAGTATTCAGGCTGTTCAAGAACATTTAGAGGGCTTGTTGATAGAACTGATGATCATGACAAAAATTCTGTTCTTTATTTAGCTACACCTAAAGTGAAATTTTAGTCCCCACTGCTAGTATTCAGGCTGTTCAAGAACATTTAGAGGGCTTGTTGATAGAACTGATGATCATGCCAAAATTCTTGATTCTGTTGCTGATCCAAACTTATGTTGATTCCCCACCCTCTTTGCTCTTTTAACAGAGGACATGTTGATTTGACCATGCTTGGAGCAATGCAGGTGTCTAAATATGGTGATCTAGCCAACTGGATGATTCCTGTAAGTAAATGGAGAAGAGCTTAATTTCTCTTTCTTATGACTGCATTTATTTTGGACAAATTACTGTATATTATATTATATATTAGGTGTGGTGGTTAGTTTTGAACATGTGCACATTTAATTGACACAAGACATATTCCCTGTTTGTTTGTCAGCAACCTAAATACGATATTTTTGTGATTGAGAATCTTTTTTTAAAAAAATCCAGGATGCAGGATTTTGTGTTGTAAGCATTTTTGTGGTGTAATCCATGAAAATAAGCATTTTCGTGGTGTAATCAAAGTAATCATTCTCAAAATCATCCCACGCAAAGGTACAGTGGGCCCTCGACTTATAGAATTGATCTGTATTGGAATGGTGGCCGCAGGTCGAAAAGTCTGTAGGTTGAGGGTCCATTTCCCATAGGAATGCATTGAAAATCCTGTAATCCGTAACCGGCTGAAGAAAAAAAAATACCCCTCCCCAAAGAAAATAAATACACCTTACTGGTCCGAAGCCTTCCAGGGGTGCCCTGCTGCCGCCATCGCCACTGCCCGAGGCCTTGGAGGGCTTCCTTGCTGCTGCCGGAGGCCTCTCGGAGGTTGTCCACTGCCGCCGGTGCAGGCTTTCCCAGGGCGGACCGGGCCTACTAGGGGAGGACTTCCCCTGGTAGGCCTGGTCTACTCCCTGGGAAAACCTGGCAGACCGGGCCTATCAGGTGGTAGGCCCGGTCTACCAGGCTTTCCCAGGGAGTAGACCGGGCCTACTGAGGGAAGCCCTCCCCTAGTAGGCCTGGTGTACCCTGGGAAAACCTCCAAGAGGCCTCTGGTAGCGGTGGAGAAGCCCTGGAAGGCCTCCAGAGGTCCCCCTCGCTGCCGGAGGGGACTTCCGGAGCTTCTCTGGAGGCATGATTGGTGGCGAGGGGGAGTACCCTGGGAAAGCCTCTGGCAGCAGACGACCTCCAAGAGGCCTCTAGTAGCGGCAGAGAAGCCCTGGAAGGCCTCCAGAGGTCCCCCTCGCTGCCGGAGGGGACTTCCGGAGCTTCTCTGGAGGCATGATTGGTGGCGAGGGGGACCTCCGGACACCTTCCAGGACTTCTATGCCACCATGGGAGGCATCTCAGAGGTGCACTCCACCGCTGATCCGTGGTGGTGGACCTCCGAGATGCCTCCCATGGCGGTGGAGAAGCCCTGGAAGGCATCCAGAGGCGCGATCGGCACCCTACGGACCGGAAGGGGAAGCAGGGAAAGGCCAAATTTGAATTTGGCGCTTTCCCCGCCTCCCCCTTCTGGTCTGTAGGTCGATTCTCCGGCCGCAAGTCGAAGTTAAATTGTGCGGCCGGAGAAGTCTGTAAATCGAAAAGTTCGTAAGTGGAGCCGTGTACAAGTCGAGGGTCCACTGTAAAGTGGAGACCTGGAATCAGTTCTTTAACTTTAGCATGAACAAGAGTAATCCTACATATACTGTTGGATGCTACGCCCACCAGGCTCACCTTTGCCACCAGATACTTCTAGAACAGTGGTTCTTAACCTTTGTTACTCGGATGCTTTAGGAATCAGTTCTTTAATTTTAGCATGATCAATAGTAATCCTACATATACTGTTGGATGTTACGCCCACCAGGCTCACCTTTGCCACCTTTCTGGATGGTTCTCAGCAGTGATTGCAGAAGTATCTGGAGAGCCACAAGTTTCCCACTTTTGCATGTCCTTAAATCTAGAAAGGAAGCAAGTACCTATAGCAGGTGGTTTGGTCATTGTTTTTCTTGGTAACCTTTTGTATACATGAGATCATCTCCCCTATAACACAACTGAGGGGATGGTTTTTAGGACCATGTGTCCCTTAATGTCCTCTTTTGTGTAGGAAAACAGTGGTCAGCCGCCAGCTGAAGCCTCTTCGATCCTCTCCTTTATGTTCTGGTCACTTCCAGACATGGTAGTTTTTGTTTTTTCTCCTTCTAGCAAATAAACTAGCTCTTCGTAGCCAAACCAACATAAAAACTAAAGTATAAGTGACAGAAGGAATTTAACCAGTTTCCAAAGGTAAACCCATTTGTAATTAAAAAGAAAGAAAGAGAGGGAGCAAAAAAAAAGTTTTCAAAACCTGCCTGATTGCTTTCTTCCTGCAAGAATTTCCTTTTATTACTGTGTAGGACTGAAGTTCAGAGTCAATCCACTTCCCACTGTGAGCCTGCTGCTTGTGGTATTTCACTGTTAGCAATTCAGCTTTTTCAGGCATCCTCAGCTGACACCAGTTTAGAGATCCGAGGAAGGAAAACAGCCTGATGCACTCATGAGGCTTATCTGGGAAAAGGTGAAAAGAACCTCACCTTTAGAGGGTCTTTGCTTTTCTTCAGATATAAGCAACATGGTATCTTAAACAGCCCTATCCTTTAAGGGTGCCTAATAGAAAGTTCATTTCTTTGACTAAAAATAGGGCCATATGAATCTGTCTGAACATTTAAGATCAGTAAGAGAGTCCTAGCTTCATCCTGTCCTCCCAGGGGTGGAAAACCCAGATGCCTTCCAGATGTTTTAGATTGCAACTCTATAAGTCCAAACCAGGAAAACTAGTATTCATGTGTTGCAGGTATCAGCAGGGCACTAGCTCGCCTTGTTGAGAAACTGCCTACCATTAAAAATCCATGTCTCCTCCCCCAGTTCCTGTATGCATGCATTGTAGTGCAAAATTTCAATACAGTGGTGCCTCGCAAGACGAAAGTAATTCGTTCCGCGAGTAGCGCCGTCTTGTGAAATTTTTGTTTTGCGAATAGCGGTTTCCCATAGGAATTCATTGGTATACATTCCTATGGGAAACCTTGCAAGACAAATGAATTATTTTTGTCTTGCGAGGCATTGGTCTTGCAAAAAAAAAAAAATGGTCTTGCAAAGCACAGCCATAGAAGAAGGCGTCTTGCGACTCACCAACACGATCGCAAAACGCTTTTGTCTTGCGAGTTTTTCATCCGGCGAGGTGTTCGTCTTGCGACGTACCACTGTAAATGAAGGACGAGATAATTTTTCCCTGTATCAACTGTGAGTGTAATAGAGTTTCGACAATAAATGTACTGTTTTTGCTATAGTGATTTTTTAAATAAATCAGACATATATCTTTTTTCAACCCAAAATGAACTATATAAAATAAATGAAGTAGGACCCCCATATCCATGAGGGATCCGTTCCAAGGCCCTCTGTGGATGCTTGAAAATATGGAACTCTAGTTTAATAGCAAACGCTATTTATAGCGTGGTCTCTAGCTCCATTTAGTGGCCAGTTTTGGTAATGACATAGTGTAAATTTATTTCTCTAATGAACTCTCTGTAGCATAGTATTTGGCTCCCTTTAGTGGCCAGTTCTGGTAACTGCATCATTAAAAATATGATTTCGTTTTAAGAGAAGCATTTTTTGAGATTTTTCTTTTAATATTTTCAGACCGTGGATAAGAGAATCAGCAGATACTGATCCCATTGATAACAGGGTCCTGCTGTGTTAATAATAAGCCTTCTTCTCTTCAGATGCTCTCTACTGCAGCCTCCTTCAGTTCTAGCTCGTATTGCTGTTGGTTGATTTAGCACTGGCTTATTTGGAAGCCCTTGGGTACAATTGTGTGCCGTCATAAGTAGGAGCAAGTCCCACTGAACACAAGGCTGCCTGCTTTTGAGCCGACACTTACAGCACTGCACTCTGAAACTGAAAGGATTCACATATTGCATTAAGCACTCTGTACACAATGAGGCTGATAATACAGTGGGGCCTTGACTTACGAATATCCCTACTTACGAAAATTTCGAGTTACGAAAAGCTCCGGCCGCAAAATTTTGCTTTGACTTGCGGCCAGAACTTTGATGTATGAATGAAAAAAAGCAGGGGAAAAGGGCGGGAAATTCAAACCGTTGGTGGCGAAGAGGCTGCTTCTTCGCCCCAATGGTGAGGAAAAGGGAGGCTCAGCCTCAGGGGCTTCCAACACCTCCCCGACCACCGCGTGGGGTGCCAGTCCTTTGGAAGCCAGCACCCAGCGCGGCAGTCGGGGCGGCTGCCGGGCTTCCAACACCTCCTCGACCACCGCGTGGGGTGCCAGTGCTTTGGAAGCCGGCACCCAGCGCGGCGGTCGGGGCGGCTTTCAGCTTCCCGGGTTTCCAAAGCCATTGCCACTGCCCTTTGCCTCCCATCCCCGCTGCCTCCTGCAGCGGCAGAGGCAGTGGGGACAGGCGGCAGAGGGCAGCAGGAAAGGGAGGCAGAATTACTGTCAATAACCATTGGTTTTTCATCAGACTTTTCATGCCAAAGCTTTACTGTTTGTTTGTTTTTAAAGTAGTTGCACCAATTGTTTGGTGACAGGGCTAATTTCCCAAGTATTGCTGCAGTGCAAAACACACATTGCAATGAATAATGTGGTCTTTCTGGAGAGAAAATAGTGCTATGGGTAGGGCAGGGGGAGAAGCATTAAATACGATTATTGTGGTTTCTTTGACTAATGATGCTTTTAGAGTGGCAAGTAAAGCCAGTAAAAATCGCACTTCTAGAGTAGTGGGGTAGAAGTAGAAGAGAGATTAAAAGTGATGGATGAGGTCTCCTAGGGATTTATGAATATTAATATCATAAATACTGGTGTTGCTGATATGATGTAACAGTGAATAGACTGCTGAACCAGTGGCAGATGCCCTTAGGCAAAGATGATGAATCTTTAAGAATAAATCCAGAGAAAGTTCCACGGTTGGCATTTGTATGTATACAAACTTGATGCCAACTTTTTATCTGCTTTCCCAGTATTTAGAAATGATTCTTATGAACTGGGTCCTTATGGAAGCGCTTTATCTTGGGTTCAATTTCACCGTTGTAGCTGCCTTATTCAGAGTCAAGCCTCTTCCTATAGCAGCTAAGGAGTCAGACGAGAGATCTTTCTATTCCCTCCTTGTAACAATCCCTATACTGCTCTTTTCAGTATAACCTTAAACTTCTTAGTCTCTGTCACCATCACAACCATCCCTGTGAATATCGGGGCGCCACGAGTTAGATTGTGGCTTCCCACTTCAGAAATGGTAGGTTAAATTATTCCAGCTAAACAGAAACAGGGTTGTAATGTTTTCCATCTATGAGAGGGGCAGTTAAGTGCAAAGTTGGCATTAATTCTTGTACCATCCTAAGGAAAATGAGTTTTGTGCTATTTGATATCTATTCATTGAAAATGCAAATAATAGTCTTCATTACTCCTCCAACATTACATGATACCTTATGAAGAGACTTGCTGGTATGAAACAGTAACAATCCACATTTCATGGGGAAAACATTAAATAAAAGTTAAGATCCACTGAAGTGCAAATAATGAGTTTGTAAAATCTTAATATGACCTGTTGATCTGTTTAAGTAAAACATGAATTGTAATATCCCACATCTGCTCAGTTGTATTATTTGATTTTTAAAAGAGTTTTAATTTTTTTAATGTTTGTTTTATTTTTTTAAAAAAAAGAGGGAAAAATAAACAGATATTACAAAGTTGGCATGCATATCAAGTTTGCACATCTTTGGATTATGAAGTGTGCTGCTTATATTACTACTCCATAGCGTTTAAAGCACTCTCTGGGTGGTTTACAATTTAAATAAGCAGGTGACACATTGCCCTTGCCTCCAGTGAGCAACGTACTCAGTTTATTGACCTCAGAAGGATGGAAGGCTGAGTCAACCTTGAGCCACGTACCTGAGCCCATCGAGATCGAACTCAGGTCGTGAGCAGGGTCTCGACTGCAGGACTGCAGTTTAATCACTGCGCATGAGGCTCCAGGCAAACTATCTCCACGCATGGTTCATATATGAATTCATTCTGGGGGCGGAGGAGTTTGTCATGTGTGAATTGGTTCTCAAACAAATCTTTTTACGGATATGCGTGCTGGAAGCACATGTAGAGAGAGAAAAGAGGTTGCTGGGCAGAACGAACGAGAACATCATGCTCTACAAAAATCATAGTATCCATGATGGGAAGGTGTTAATGGTTGGGAGACGGTGAACCGATCTTCCAGGGGGGGCAGTTTGGAGCAGAAATTTTGAAGGAGGGAGGAGTGATGAGAAAAAGAGATCTTTGTTTTTTGTCACATGGACATTTTTAAAAAAGGAGTAGTGGTCTGGATGGGGCATATAATGCATCCATCTTACTAAGGGAAATATTGACTCAGTGTCAGGGTACAGTGGTGCCTCGCTAGACAGTTACCCTCATGACAGTTTTTTCGCTAGACATTGACTTTTTGCGATCGCTATAGCGATTCGCAAAACAGTGATTCCTATGGGGGAATTTTGCTGGACAACGTTTGGTCCCTGCTTCGCAAACCAATTTTCGCTAGACAACGATTTTGACAGCTCCCTCCGTGCTTGCAAAACGAGTGTTTTCAGGTCCTAAGCTTCGCAAGACAGCGATTTAAACAGCTGATCGGCGGTTCACAAAGCGGCTTTCCTGTGGCCGATCTTCGCTAGACAATGACGATTCTTCCCCATTGGAACGCATTAAACAGGTTTCAATGCATTCCAATAGGGAAATGCTTTTCGCTAGACAATGATTTCGCTAAACAGCGATTTCAGTGGAACGGATTATCATTGTCTAGCGAGGCACCACTGCATCTCTGGATGTATCTGGTGAGGTAGTCTCTACCCCAGAAAAGCTTATGTCATAAGCAGCTTGTTGGGCTTTAAGGTGCCACGGTACTCTTTTCTGTGATGGAAGTAAGACAGGAAATAGATACATTGGCCAAAATCTTGCTAGGTAGATTTGCCACTGGTTAAAGACTTTCTTTTTCAATTTTTGGTGTGCACAGGACTGGTTATCTTAGAACTCTAGGTCCAGGGACATTTTGCTAACAGGAGGAAATTGATTGGGCTGAGAACAGAATTTTGCCAAAGAGAGCAACGTTTGAAATTTAAAGAGAGAGGTTTTAGAACACATTTGCTGCCTAGGACCTTAGAAAGAAGAGTGAAGGTATCACAATATGGGCCGTTTGCCCGGCTTGATTCCTTGTGTTTTCGCTGAGCATGTGTTTTTGAAATGGCCTGTGATCTTTCGGCATCTTCTTCCAAAGTTCTTTAGCCAGTTGTGGTTTCTTTTCTTCTTCTTACTGAAGAAAAAAAATGCGATTTCTTGTCATTCCCGGAGACTGCTGTCTGGGCCCTTCTTTTTCCTTTCCCTCTCCTTTTAATCTCGCTGTCAGAGATAGCAGTATGATGACAGTAATTCCATAATGGCACCATTTTGCAGCTGATTGTCAATGGGGGGGAAGTGACAGATAAAATATAATTCAAAGCAATTTATTGTTTGTCTTCTCAAGTCATGGACTTTTTATTGCTAAAACAGAAAATGAATTGCCCGCCTAAGGTGGTGCTGATATTTTCTTTTCCTCAGCTTAAGCTGCAGTATTGGTCAGTTGATGCCAATATATTTTAAATTGTACAGAAAATGTTCTGCTGGAAATATATTCACTGGGGGAAGAAAATGAATAGTTCAGAGCCTCTTTACAGGTAGCTGTTGCCAATGGAAATGATTTCGAAACCAGCAAAAATACCACATAATTGAACATTAGGTTTAGTGTAATTATTTTACAGGCTTGGTGGAAGAAGAACATAACATTTCATTTAACATCTTTTGGGTGTTAAATATTGTATAGTATTTTGTTTAACTAGCACTTAATTTTTAGGTAAGTTTATTTGATTATATATCCCTTTTGGTGTGTTATTTTATCATGTACTCCCGAAAAGCCACCTTGGGACCTTTTGAGGAGAAAGACAGGGCAAAAATATGTTAAATAAATAAATTAACACAGATGTGAGCATTTTAGCATTAAAAGTTAAATGTCTTTATTGAATGCTCTAGCTGTGGAGGTACTCCAGGCTCCTTCCCTCCTAATGCTCAGGAAGCACATAAAACTTTGCTTTTCAGGGAGACACTTATAATTGTTGGTCATTTAGTTTTATTTTGACAGTTATACCCTGTAACCTTTATCTCATCCATTGCTGCCATCTTGATTTTTATTTTTTGTTATGTACGTATATATTTCTTTTTGGGGGGGGAGATGAGATTTGGCTGTTCTTTGTTTGTTTTTTTACAGCTGGAACCTTCCCAGAGTAGTGGCAAGGCTGCTAGATGGTGTGATATAAAAATATAATTAATAAACAAACAAACAAATCTCCAGAACTGATTATTAGAATCATTTATTTCGTGACTATTTGATACACTTTATATCTGTGTATGTTTAGTGTTGAGTTGACTTATTTTGCAAATTTTGAAAAACAAAGCAAACATCTTCAGTGTATTGTTATTTCTGCTTAACTGTGTTTCCTTTCATTGTTTGAAATGTACATGTGTTGCTTTTTTTAGGGTAAAATGGTGAAAGGAATGGGTGGTGCCATGGACTTAGTGTCCAGTGCAAGAACAAAAGTAGTTGTCACAATGGAGCATTCAGCAAAGGTAAAATGTTAACAATCTCTTCTAGATTTTGCCTTCCTCCCACAGCTTGAGAACATACAGTGGTGCCTCGCTTGACGACGTTAATCTGTTCCAGCGAAATCACTGTTAAACAAAATCGTCGTTAAGCGAATTTTAAAAACCCATTGAAACGCATTGAAGACCCTTCAATGCGTTCCAATGGGCTAAGTACCTCATCGTAAAGTGAAGAGCCTCCATTGGGCGGCCATTTTCCAGTGCCTGTATAGTGAGGAATCCATCCTAAAGCACAGCAGGGAGCCATTTTGCACAGCGGGCGGCCATTTTAGAGCCGCTGATCAGCTGTTTGTAAATCGTTCTCTAGCGAAAAATCGGTTCCCGAAGCAGGGAACCAATCATCATGAAACAAATTTTTCCTATTAGAACATCGTTTTGCGATCGCAAAAGCGTTCACAAAAACCTCATCGTCAAGCAGTTTCGTCGTTTAACAAGGTAATTGTTAAGCGAGGCACCACTGTACATTGCTTCTATAGGTTAAAAGCTACAACACACCAGCAGTTCTCCAAACCTGTTCCAGAGGGGGCTTCTCCAGGGCAGAGTTAGGAGTGACAGTGCTGTGTGTGTTATATGCCCATGAGTCAGTGGGCAGAGGGAGAAGCAACCTGGAGGAGCAATCCATTTTATAAATAGTGCCTTTCTTTACTTTTTTGCACCCCAAAATATCTATTTCTTAAAGCTAGAAGTAGACTTATTTTGAATTATTCTAGAGGTAGAAAATCAGTCTCTGGATCTACCTGAGTTTGTCAGCCCTGCTTCAAAGGTATACCCAAAAGAATCTTTTTAAAATAGTACAAATAAACAATTAATTTAGCAGGAATCAGAACTCACAAGACCTTGAATAAAGCATTGCTGATGATCTTCCAGATATTTGTCCTCAATATTAGTCATTTTCATCAAGGAGGCAGATTGTTTGAAGAGCAGATGCATATGTTAAATGGCCTGCATTGGAATAAATCTATTGTTCTCTACCGCAGAGGAAAGAACAGGACTGGGAGTGCCATCTCTGAGAATACAGTACATGTTGTTTAAAGCAAGGGTACACATTGTTGCCCCAGTGATAAGTGGAGTTGATTGCTGTGAAATCTAGAAAATTAATCACTGGCTAGTATGAGCATGCACACATTTAAATTTCTTTTTGAATTACAGTACACACACACACACACACATGAACAAAGCAAGAAGGAGACAGGTACTAATGCTGTTAATTAAGACACATAAAAGCTGGTTTGGGTAATTTTTAAAGGGCATCACCTGTATGTATTGTCATTCTTTGCAGCTAGACACGGAGATGAATAATCTTTTATTTCTGACTTGCTACTGTAATAAAATGAATGTGAGTTTAGTATTCCAGCCCATGCCATGTATGAAAATACCTGCAGCTATTTGTTTAGTAATTATCGCTATAATTAGAGGTGTTATGCTTTGCTGGTCTGCACATATTGAAATAGCTTGCATGCGTCTGTAACTACACTCAGGTTTTCACCAAAGAGGGGAAAAAGAACTAAGCCGGGAAATGGATGAAGGAACAATATTTGTTTCCATGAACAAGGTGTTCATTATTTTTATTTTTAAATGGACAATAGGAAAACACTTCAAGGACGTGGAGAGTAGATGAAAAAACAATGGAGACAATAGTACTGTGTTGTTGTTGTTTGCTTCTGCCAATTAAAATGCAAGGCAATTTATCTGGAGGTAAAGTAGCCTTTCTAGATAAAGGTATTTGTTGAATTGTAACCCCCACTCAGTCATACGTGCTTGGATGTGGAACCTGTGGTCTTTCAGATGTTACTTAACAACTATTCCTATCATCCTTCATTTACTATGCTGTACAGGAAGCTTCTAAGAGAGGGAGTATAAATTTTACTTTTTTGGAAAATTTAAAAACTTGTTTCCATGCTCTGTGAAATTCTGAGAGTTCTTGTGACCCTCCCCTCAATTTTGAAATGTTTCACAAAAAGTTCATGGAATAATTTTTTTAATGCAAAAACAACTTTGTGCAAAATGCTAGAGGGGGTTTAAATGGCAAAACTTAGATTTTTTTTTGAAGCAAAAACACCATGCTTTACCATGTCTGTAATAAAAGGTTCAATCATAGCAGATGGTTTGTTGTCGGAATTGGTATATATTTCAGGTGTTTCAAAACTGGCATATATTTCAGATGTTCTGTAAAAGGTAATTTTTCTGTCTCCCCACCCCCCATTATAGGGTAATGCCCACAAAATTCTGGAGAACTGCACTTTGCCAATTACTGGGAAAAACTGTGTGAATCGCATCATAACAGAAAAGGTAATATATTCTACTTTTTAAATATTTAGATTTAAAATCAGGGGCCTTCAAAGAACTTCAAAGGGTCTTTTTATCTATGTAATAATCCTGTAAAGTATATTAGGCAGCCAGTTGCCTAAGGCAAGCTCTGGATAGTTAGGATCCTATGCTTCATTTGTGAGAAACTCATTTAAACTCTGCTCTGATTCCATTCTCTTAATAGAAGTTAACTCCTCACCCCCGGCTCTTCTCACACTTCATGTCTCAAGCTGTGTATTCTAAGTAAGAGAGTTTATTTCTGGTTTGATGATATCAGAGGCAGTAGCCTGAGTATGGCAGTCAAAATACAGTATATCCCATGAACAGACTGCTTATTTCGCTTTAAGAAGTGACTGTCAGTCTCAGCTACTGGTTTGTGGAATGCTAGTATCAAGAATTCTTCCACCAGTGTACTGTCATTTTATGTGATCTTGGGGATTAGCACTGGAGTTGCATCAGCACCGATGCTGATTTATGCCAAGCATCTGCTTTGGTATCCGCACTGCAGGTGCAAAGTTTCTGATTGTTTTCGGTGCTTTGAGTTGGAAGCAACATTTCCCCCCAGGAATGCAGAATACAGCCTGGCTCTGTCATTGACTGTTCCTCAGAGATTCAATATTCTGACCTGTCACCACCACACAACACTGTGGCTGTGGGAATGCTCTAGCTCTTATTTGATATCAGAGTAGGTGCAAAGTTTCTGATTATTTTCATTGCTTTGAGGTGGAAGCAACATTTCCCCCCAGGAATGCAGAATACAGCCTGGCTCTGTCATTGACTGTTCCTCAGAGATTCAATATTCTGACCTGTCACCACCACACAACACTGTGGCTGTGGGAATGCTCTAGCTCTTATTTGATATCAGAGTAGGTAAAGATTTGTTATTACTTTATGAAAACCAGCATCACAGGACTGGGTGCTTCAGAGATTGCCTTCTTCCTTAGGCCTGTGTTGCTGTCATGGTGCCCTGCTTTATGGAGTATCCTTCCCTCAAAAATTCAACACATACCTATAATTTTGAAACTATGCCTCTTTAAGCAAATCTTCCCTGTGTAGTCCGACCTAATATCTGTACCTACATCATGGGCCACATAAATATTGCAACGAAGATCATGCCAATTCGGACAATTCGCACAACATACTATTGTTCATGTTTGCATGAGGAAGTGTCCAGTATCTCCTTGTACAAGTGGAAGCCATGCAGTCGCAGTGAGATCTTGGGCAGTTACCTGCAGAGCTTGGACTGTACTTATCACAATCCTTCAGCTAACATGGCCTATTGTGGAAATCGTAGCTTTTTCCATGCTCTGATCATAGATTGTTATAGAGGCTCAATTGTCTCAAATGTGAGATCTGTGGTGGAAAGAAAAGGCAACCATCAGCTCCTCTCTTAAGGCTGCTGCTGATGCCACTGCCAAAATTAATACACAAGGGCTGATATGAGAAGGAAGATGAAGGACAAAAGAGGAACCATGCATTAGACAAGTGGAGGAAAGAGTGATCGTTCATGCTCAGCTTGCAACATTGGTTGAAGGGTTTTTCTTTATTTAGCAAAGGCTTTCCTTCTTCTTAAGGGACGTGGTGGCGCTGCGGGCTAAACCGCAGAAGCCTGTGCTGCAGGGCCAGAAGACCAGCAGTCGTAAGATCGAATCCACGCAACGGAGTGAGCTCCCGTCGCTTGTCCCAGCTCCCGCCAACCTAGCGGTTCGAAAGCATGCAAATGCGAGTAGATAAATAGGGACCACCTCGGTGGGAAGGTAAACAGCGTTCCGTGTCTAAGTCGCACTGGCCATGTGACCATGGAATATTGACTTCGGACAAAACGCTGGCTCTATGGCTTGGAAACGGGGATGAGCACCGCCCCCTAGAGTCGAACACGACTGGACAAAAACTGTCAAGGGGAACCTTTACCTTTACCTTTCCTTCTTCTTATAATATTTTATTACAATTAATGTAAATTCTGCAGGCTGTTTTTGATGTCGATCAGAAAAAGGGACTCACCCTGATTGAAATCTGGGAAGGGCTGACAGTGGATGACATTAAGAAAAGTACTGGCGCTGATTTCACGGTAAGTCATTACTGGGTTGACTGTCGTTCATCTCTGGCTCAGAATTACTTTTCTCAATAAACAAAGAGCATTTTTTGTCCTAGTTTCCACACGCCATTAGTCCTCCTGCTCTGAAAAAAAAATTGTTATGGGGATTTATTTGGGAAATATTCGTGAATGTTTTGGAAATTATTTATGAAAAATCTCTCTCTTTCTCTCTGCCCTATAGACACAAGCTTCAGGGATGAACAAGGTTTCTGATTTATGTTGGTGGGGAGAATGGGACAGGTGGCTTGACATGTGCATGGGCTTTTAAGTGAAATTAGCATACAGTTGAAGGGAATATGGAAGGACATTTGGGGGTACCAATTTTTGTTGACAGTCAGGGACTGGAGGATACAGGGGGTTAGTTGAGTGAAAACAGGTTTAGAACAGTAGCTGCCAGCCTTGGGTCACCAGGTGTTCTTGGTCAGTACAGGTAGTGGCGAAGGCTTCATTCCAAGGTTTTAGTCCAAGAACATCTGAGAACGCAAGGTTATGAACCACTGGTTTAGAAGATTGCTAATTCTGGGGGCATTTATTCCAGACTTCATTGCTTTTCTCAGGATTTGTTAGTTTGATTGATGTGTTTTTCCTCTGCTCTCCAGGCAAAAATACTCCTGAGATGGTTTACAAATATCAAGGACAAGATGGTTCTTGACCTCAGTCTGTCCATTTGAAAGACATGATGTACATCACAAAGTGATAGGGAGGGGAGGAAAAAAGTATGTTTTGGTTGTTGTGGGTTTTTCGGGCTCTTTGGCCGTGTTCTGAAGGTTGTTCTTCCTAATGTTTTTCCAGTCTCTGTGGCCGGCATCTTCAGAGGACAGGAGTAACACTCAGAGTGCTACTCCTGTCCTCTGAAGATGCTGGCCACAGAGACTGGCAAAATGTTAGGACGAACAACCTTCAGAACACGGCCAAAGAGCCTGAAAAACCCACAACAACTATTAGATCCTGGCCGTGAAAGCCTTCACAAATACCAAGGATGTTTTGTTGGGCAGCAGTAGGACTTTGGATGGGAATTATTATTTGTCTCTGATCTTCAGCGGCCACCAGGCCCATAGACAATGCTACAAAACTGGTGGCTTGTCTCTTCTCCAGGAACACCAACTTCCATGTAAACATGTTCGGGAAGAGGTGACAGGCAGTAGTAGCAAAATGCAGCACCCAGTCAGAGGACAACAGCGAGTGGTGACTCTGGGTGGGAGCTGGCCCCTTTGTCAATAGAAGGATTTTACTTTGAAGACTGCTTCAAAGAGTGAAGGCCTAAGTTACTACTAGATTTCTTTGAAATTTTCCGTGTTAGTCTTTTCTGAGCAGGACCTCTTAAAGATTCCTTTCAAATCCATATCTTTTAAAGCAAGTGTGTTGCTTATGCATCACCCCATAGCACTTAACACACTCTTTGGGTGATTTACAATTTAATTATGCAAGCTACATATTGCCCTCCCCCAAGTGAGCTGGGAACTCAATTTACCGATGTGGGAAGGATGGAAGCCTGAGTCAGCCTTGAGCCAGCTACCCGGATGGAAGCCTCAGTCAACCTTGAGCCAGCTACCTGAGGCCATTGAGATCAAACTCAGGTCGTGAGCAGAGGCTTGATTGCAGTATTGCTGTCGAACCACTGCACCATGAGGCTCGCCCCTAATAGTATTTGTCTCCTAGTTAGCAAAACTTATTAAGGTAATTGCAAGAGGAGCAAATCCTACATGTATTGTTCACACACCCTGAAATTATTTGTACTCCAATAATTTTGAGCAGCAATTTATCACAATAAACCTTGGCATAAAAGTGGGTTGGTTTCCAGTGCCAGCATCATAGGAGGAGTCTTGCCTGCCACCAAAAGGGGTTTTCTTAGGAAGATAACTTAAAATTGTTCCCCGGCCCCCACCTTCTGATTCGTAACTGCCTCAAACCTGGATATTTTCTCTGCTTAACCTCCTTATTTTGTTTTGAAATCCAAACCTGATTATTATTTCATAGTGCCAGCAAAAACAAAGTGTGGAATTTTGTTTTATTATTGTTCAAATCAGCCAGGAAATTAGCCATTGGCTCCACAACTATGTTGTTGTGCCTTCCATTTTAGGCAGATTTGTTTATGTAAATTCCTTCTCCTTAAAGATCAATTAATAGATCCATTAAGAAGAAAATCTACATAACAACATTGTGGGTTTTTGGGGAGACATGTAGCTGTAGATTCATATTTTAGCAATTTTTAAAGGGGAAAAAATCTTCCACACAATATATCTAGCAATAACAAAGGAGAAGTGATTTAGAGCCACCTATAATTATTACGAACGTGTGGTGGCACTGCAGGCTAAACCGCAGAAGCCTGTGCTGCAGGGTCAGAAGACCAAGCAGTCGTAAGATCGAATCCACGTGACAGAGTGAGCTCTCGTCGCTTGTCCCAGCTCCCGCCAACCTAGCGGTTCGAAAGCATGCAAATACAAGTAGATAAATAGGGACCACCTTGGGAAGGTAACGGCGTTCCGTGTCTAAGTCGCACTGGCCATGTGACCACGGAAGATTGTCTTCGGACAAAACGCTGGCTCTATGGCTTTGGGGCGGGGGGGACAAAGGAGAAGTGAGTTAGAGCCACCTATAATTATTATGAACGTAGCATTATATCAGCAACAGCAGTTCACTCTGAGTTTCCCTAGTGTTTACATCAGACCCTTAAGTCATCAGTATCCTTAAATCAGATTTAACTGGTTAGATCATTCTGGCAGAACAATCTGTTGTGCAGACCCAGTTTATAAGAGACATTATTACAACACTGTGGGGGGGAAAAGAAAAAGAGTGAAAAGTCATATTTGTATAGGTATGTTGCATTATAAAAATATTTATATATCATTTTCTAATTCCTTCCCCGGTTTTCCCCCACTAGGTTTCACCCAACCTTATGCCAATAAAGCAGATTTCAACTTGAGGAACAGACCGAACGTATCGTCCATGCGTCCAATGAATGGGAATCAAATGTCTGTTTTGCAATTATGCATTTTAAAGAGTTTTTTGTAAGTAGTTCCTTTGGTAGTTAGCATATCAGGCTGACTCTGTAACTATTACCCTGTAAATGTTTATTCACGCACATCAGTACGATTCAGCTTCAAAAAATGAACCCTGTATGGTAGCTGGATAGTTATGATTATAGTCCTGCACATCTGACCCTTAATATACAGTGGCAAAAGAAAATAACCTTGTTTGGGTGATCATATCTTTGCTTATTAATCTGAGAAAAGCATGTGGATGCAATTCTTAAAGATGCACTTATTTTTCCCTGTATATGCAACTCTTTCATATGAGATACATTGGGGAGTCACTAATTTGCCAGGTTCTCATTTTCTTAGAAGTGAGGAAATGTGGTTACCAGCTTGAGAAACATGCAGGATCTTAAGCTAACTTCAAACTTTCTAAATGCAGTCAATGCCTTCTAGATGTGATTTTGATTCTGTCATATTGTGGAAAGGTCGCTTTCACACACAGACCATGGTAACTTGCAAGTGCCTATATATGATTGAAATTGTGAACACACGCACAATTAAAGAGGTATAGGGCAAATACTGATGGGTATAAGGTGTTCCGTTTGCAAAAGGTCACATAAGTAAAAAGCAATATACCAGACTTTTTATCTATCGGAAGTCAAACTTTTAATAACTCCTTATATTTCTAGTAAACAGAGGTGAAAAGATAGATTTTAAAGTCTGTGGGATATATTATGGTTAAAATGCTTGCTTTTGATTTTCAAAAGCTGGGGTGTCAAATGTTCCACATAAGTCCATCAGCTGAACTCATAGCACTTATTTTCTGAAGGTGCAAAGGTAAAAATAAACTTCCTAGCCAGAATAAAAATATGCAAAGCATAAATACTGTTTCTTTTTGCAAATATGGTATTGTATGTTTATTCTTAATTTAATGTGCAAAATCTTGGGTTACACAGGAAAGAGATGGGAAGTTGACCAACTTTCTCATAGGAGAATTTCTGTTGCAATGGATATTGTTACAACGATGGTCTCATGGTGACAGGTTTTTGATTTGGTCTCATAATTAAATGTGAACATGATTGCAAATGTCTGTCTAATGTGTGGATACTGCCTTTCCATTATTAACAGTGAATTGAGTCGCACAAAGTCCAATGAAATCACTGGGAGGGAAATAGCGCTTTTTTACTTCAATGTATGTGCCATTTACATGTTGTATAGTTTTTAACCATTTGAAATCAAAATTAAAACAGTGGCAGATAATGTCTCTGTTTCTTTCTTGTTCTGGGCAGTACCAAAAGTCTACCTTGCCTCGTTTTTTCTGACTCCGAAGCTTCTTTAAATCAGGAATTAATAGGTGAAAATGTACGAATTAGTTAGTGATGATGCCATACACAATCAGTAATGGATTTCTTTAAGGAATCAATTTAGAGAAGTCACATACTCTAACTGGTGAGTGATCTAATCTGAAAACCAGTATGGTATGGGTCTGGATTTGGGTAAATTCATTTCAAAGCATGGTTCAGCTGTTAAGCTCATTGGATATTCTTCTGGGGAAGTAGTCTTAGGAAGCTGGTGTTCTGCTTCTTTGCCATTACAGTCAGGGGGCTGTTTTCACAAAGTTTTCCAAACTATCCTGGAAACAGGGTTTCCATGGTGCTGTATGTACACACACAAATGTCCTCAAGAAGCCTTGCCTCACCTCCCCTATTTTCCACTTCTGTAACTACCTTCATAGTGGTGGTGGAGAAACAGAAAAAAACAAAGATAGCATCCTTCATTCATGGACACATGCTTCGTCTTTGAATGCTCCTTTGGAAAGCTTGCTTCATGCATGGTGTTGTACTAATATTGAGTTCCTGCCACATTTTACATAAGTTCAAGTTTCATGCACTAATCCATTCCTTCCCCCATTTCACATCACCATTACCATAGTCGAAAAATGTTACGTTTTTTGAACTGTGCCTCCCAGAATCCCCCAGGAAGCATGGCCTGTTTTATGTTGACTGGGGAATTATTTTCCAAGTTCTAATCTACTCTAAGTATGGCTGAGTCTAGATCCATCTCAGTATTATCACTTTAAGAGCAAATTCCTAATTACCATACTTGTTTTTTGTGTGTGAAATTTCTAAAACAGAAAATAGATACTGGCATTCTTTTGTGACTGCTGAGTAACTCAAAAGCATACCAGTACTGTATGTGTTCTACTGTGTCACCATTTTCTGTGACAAAGCAAACACATAAAGATAGCTTCTCAGCAAACGGTGCCCACTTTTTAGACAGTAGGATTTACAGAGGACAGCTTGACCCCCCCTCCTTTCAAAGTGCTTATCCTTTTAGTTGTTAAATATACAATATAAGTAGTAGTCAAGCTATGGTAGGTCTTTGGAAGGTGATGGTATCTTTATTTCTCCTTGATGAATCTGGGGAAAAAATCTAGTGTATGAGTTGTCCTGGATGGCAAAATGTCTCAAAGCAGAAGGAAACCCCATATGGTTTAGAAAAAAGATGCCAGTCATAGGGAACACTTGATGCTACATGCTGTTACAGCAGCTCCACTGGCTGCCAATCCATTCCTGGGCCCAATTCAAAGTGCTGGTTTTAACCTATAAAACCCTAGACCACTTGTGTCCAAGCTGTCTCAAGGACTGTGTCACCCTTTATGAGCCTGCCTAGGTGTTAAGATCATCAAGAGAGGCCTTTCTTTCAACCCTGCCACCTTCACAGGCGCCCTTGGTGGGACACAAGAGAGGGCCTTCTCTGTTTCCGTTCTCAAGCTCTGGAAGTCCCTCTGACGGGAAGCTCTGGCTGGTCCCATCTTTGCTGTTTTACCATAAGCAGGTAAAGACCTTTTTTCCTCAGGCACGCTTTCCTTAGTGACTGATTGTCTAGGAGAGATTTTTAAATGGGGTTGTTTGCATTTTGTTGCTTCTAAACCTGTTTTTAGTAATACTTTTACCTAACATTTTTAATATGTTATTCTTTTTAAATACAGTGATGCCTCGCAAGACGAAATTAATTTGTTCCGCAAGTCATCTTGTATTGTGAAATTTTCGTCTTGCGAAGCACGGTACTAACGGTTGTGCAATTTAAAACAACACACACACACCCAAAAAAGGGAAAAAAACACCTTTTGAAGCACGGGCATAGAAAAAATTGTCTTGCAAGTCACCAAAAAAATTGCAAAACACTTTCATCTTGCGAGTTTTTCATTGCATGAGGCATTCGTCTTGCGAGGCATCACTGTATTTCCACAACTTACTGCTTTAAGCTTTTGAGATTGTGTTTTTAATAATATAAGCCACCTTTGGTCCATTTTTTAAAAGGTAAAAGAAATAAAGTAAATAATGGTGGTTGTTTGAGAATTTTTATTTTTTTTCATTCTATCACAGCTTTCACTTTCTGAAATCAATGGGCAGTAGACTCAAGGCAACAAAATGGAAGCAATTCTTTGTAGGAGGAAGGGTTAATGTATAGACTTTGCTACCACAACATTGTCGTCCCCACACAAGATGTGGTGAAGAGGGCAGCTAGCTCAGATTACTTTAAAAGAGGATTGAACAAATGACCAGGACAGAGTTCTGTCTATAGATGGATGGAGAGATGTCCTTCAGTGGCTCTTACTTGAAACAGCAATATCTTGTTTCATTAGTAGTACAAAGTAATTGACAGTTTACTGGTGGCAACAATGGAAATGGCTACAGGTGATGGGAGTTATATGCTAGCTAATACACTGGTTCCCAACCTTGGGTCTCCAGATGTTCTTGGACCACAACTCCCTGCACAGCTAGTGGTGAAGGCTTCTGGGAGTTGTAGTCTAAGAACATCTGGGAATCCAAGGCTGGGAACTACTGCTTAATACATCTGGAGAGTGGCCACTGTGGAAAGATGGAACAACTGATTTCAAGCTTTCTAACTGACTACCCAAAGACATCTTATCTAATCTCGTATGTTCTTACACAAGAAAGCACTTCCTGTTTGAATTTTAAGCAGCTTATACTGAACTGATGATTGGAAATTTTGGACCTGTACCCATTTCTAAAGTTTTCTTTCATGATTGGAGCACTATCATATTTTTGGTTTTGTCCGCTGTCAAGGGGGAAAAGTGAACAGCCAGCTTACCTAACTGAATGTACTGTAAACTGTGTGTGCAGGTCTCTTTTATGTACTTGCAAACAGTTAATAAAACAATCGCACAAAGATGGTGTACTTTGCTGTCAGTTTTTGTTCAGGCAAACATAGCATTTTGCGGGAGGGGAGGTAATTCCTACATCTTTTTACAATTTCTACTACTTTGAACTGTCATACACCTTGGATATTGTGTAGTGACTAAAAAGACAATGAGTGGATCTGCAGGATTCAAAACATGGTGCCATTTATCCTTTACTTCATAGGAAAAGGGGTGGGATCTTGAATAAATAGTATGCCTGGATTGTATACTTTAATTTCAGAGGGGAGTACTCCCAAGTAAATTTAGCCTAACCATTGCACACTTAGATACTCCAACGTTGTGCTACCTTTGCATGTAGTATTCTATACATATGGACAAAGTGTTTTATAGAAAGATGCTGACTGTTACTACTTAAACTAATACATTTTTCCACAAACTGACACCAAGTTATGCCCTGACTAGAAAATCCACTCACCATATGATTGTCTCTTCCAAGTTTTTATATTTAAAAATGTGGGATGTACTCTATTTTAGGAAACAAAGATTGGCTACTGAAACTTGCCCTCCATTTGTTCTTTATCTAACCCTCCTCGTTGCATTTATTTTAATGGCACCTATGAGGGAGAAGAACAGATTCACCAGGAAGGGGTTCAGCGTTGACATGGGGCAAGTGTGAAACCTCCTCTCCGTACCTATAGTCTTAGACTGGGTTGGATTGGTGCTGCTTCTCTGTTCTCTGGCTAGCAAACCTAAAACATGCTCAGAACTTAAGAACAAGTAGAATCATGACTGCAAATATATAATCTTGGCCCATCCTGAGGGTTAGAGATAGGCATGATTTGCGGTTCAGTAGTTTGTGCCAGCTCATCTTTCAGACTAACAAGTGTTTGGAGGTTCCCAGACCTGCCCCCTCTGGTGGGTGCCCACTCAGGGCAGTGCCCCAGCTTCCCTGCCCTGCCTTCTCCAGGCACAGTCTTTGAGTGGGCACCTGCCAGGGGGCGGGGCTGGGAAATTCCAAACATCTGTTGGTCCAAAGGATGAACCAGCGGCTCATGCCCATCTCTACTAAGGATCAAACTGTATGTCGATGTATGAGTGGCGCCATCTGTAGTTTGCTTTGAACATAAAAGTGAGAAAAGGCAATGCTCGGTCTGGATTGCGATGTCGGGATCTGCAGATGAAGCCTTGTAGGGATCTGCAGATGAAGCTTAATGTCGGGATCTGCAGATGAAACCTTTTTCCCCTCTTGACCAGCAAGGAGAAAGAAAGAGGCGAGGCACTCGAGTGGTTTCAGGACGGGGATCTGGATGGACAAAACAGCATGCTGTGCAACATGCTGTTCAGTGGGAATTCCTCCCGATCCGTCGCCGCGCCCCCCTTTTATTGTTTTCTACTACCTTTGCACAAATTAATCAGTGACCATTCTAAACACAGGCAGGTAATATCTTGAATACACAAGTATGGTAAACAGAGGGGCCGGTAAACAGAGGCAGGTAAATCCTAAATACACAAGCAGGGTAAACATTCCTGGATACACGAGCAGGGTAAACAGAGACAGATACAATTTACCCCGAGACAGGTAATTATCCTAGATACCAAAGCAGGTTAATGAATCATCCTTTAGGGAAGCTAGTAGCTGTGTACGTGATTTGCGTGCTTAGCACAATGTCTGCTGTTACCACAGATATATACATTGTAAAGGCATACAATTTCCCCACATTGCGACTGCAGTGCGTAGAGAGGAACAAGTGACTGCATTAGTCCTAATTTAACCCTATTCATATGTGAGAAGTAATTTTAAAAGCAAAAAGTTTCCATTGGAGCCCATGAATGTTGGGAGACCTCCTAGAATTGTGATATAAGGGATGAAAGACTGGCAAACTCCTCTGTTTTGTGAACAGTCTGTTCTGGATCAGAGACACTGAATATAAGAACTGGAGGGAGACACAGAAACCAAGCAGACAACAACAATGATTCTCATAGAAGCAGGGCTTCCAGAGGCAGTCTTTAATCCCGCAAAAAATTCCATGCAGGGTTCCCAATATGGCAATGACATTCCTGCTATGAAACATCAGGTAAGAGAAAATCACTT